CATACCTGTTTGTTGTTTTGATTCACTTATTGGACACTTAACATTTTGACCTTCTGACCCTATATTACCTGTTTGCATTGTAGTAGGGCTTGGAATACTATAAGCTACCCATTCATCAGTGCAGTTGTCTTGTGTAATACCTGAGTCCTCTGTTTGTATTGTTGTGGTTTGTTGACACATTTGTTTACATTCATTTACTTCATATGGTCTCCGGCTTAATGCATCTGCATTTGAGTTTGATTTGCCACACCTGAACTCAATGGTGAAATCATATGCTTGAAGTTTGATTGACCACCTACCTAGCCTACCTGTATGATCTTTAATTGATTGCAGGTACTTTAATGAGATGTGATCAGTGTAAACTATAAAATGTGCATTTGCTATGTATATGTGGTATTCATTGATTGCTTCAATTAAAGCAAGGCATTCTCTCTCAGTAATGGACCACTTTCTCTCTCCTGTTGAGAGTGACCTACCTCCATAGCTAACTGCTCTCTCTCTCCCTTGTTCGTCTATTTGACCTAATATGTAACCAATAGCTGTACCTGAAGCGTCACATGATATAATGAACGGCTTTTGTAAGTCAGGATATACTAACACTGGTTCTGTAGTCAACATAATTTTTGATTCTTGAAATGCATTTTCACATTGTTCATCCCAAACAAACTCGACATTTTTTCGCATAAGATTGTTTAGTGGGGCTACTATGTTACTAAAACCCTTAACAAATCTGCGGTAAAAGTTACAAAGTCCCAAATATGCCCTTACCTCTGTGACATTTGTAGGTTGTGGGTATGATAGAATTGCCTTGATCTTTTCATTGTCTACTGTTATACCTTCTTTGGTGAAGACAAAACCCAAATAAACAACCTTTTCCAGTGCTAGTTTACATTTTGAGGGTTTAAGCTTCAAATTTGCTTTTCTAAGTCTTGTGAATACCTGGTCTAAATGGTTTAAATGCTCTTTCATGTCTTTACTAAAAACAATTATGTCATCACAGTAAACCAACACAAAGTCCCATGTAAGACCTTTCAAAACATCATTCATGACCCTCTGAAATGACATTGGTGCATTTTTGAGGCCAAAAGGCATTCTGTTGAACTGAAATTTGCCCTTGTGGGTTACAAATGCTGTTTTATGCTTTGAGCTTTCACTAAGAGGTAATTGCCAAAACCCACTATGCATGTCCAAAACTGAAAATATTGTTGCTTTTGAATGCGCTATGCAATCTATAATGTCATTTAATTGTGGAAGAGGGTAATGAATTGCTTCTGTGTTTTTATTGAGCCTTCTGTAGTCTATTGCTAACCTGTACTCATTTGACTTCTTTTTCACTAACACAACAGGGCTAGCATATTCTGACACAGAATGTTCAATTATGCCATATTCTAACATTTGGTCACATTGTTTGTCAATTTCATTTTTCTGTTCTTGAGAATACCTATAGAATCTTTGCTGGACTGGCTTATCTGATTTTGTTCTTATAACATGCTCATATGTACTATTTGCACAGCCTAACTCGTTCATGTTTTGAGAAAAGACATCTTTATTTTTATCGATGAAAGTTACCAATTTTGTCTTTTCCCCCTCTGGTAATTTACATTTCTCTAGATTGATACCTGATGTTTGTACTTCACTACCAATAGCTACATTATTTACACATGCTGTTAGTCTTGGTTCATTAGTAGTATATGTACTATGTTTAGTAGGATCTCCCTTTTGTAAAATGACAACTTTTTGTGTGAAGTCTATGAGTGCTTTACTTTGTGAGAAAAAGTCCTCACCTAAAATTACATCATGATTTGCACTTTTGAGGATAAGCATTGGTTGAACATATTCAATATCTTCAAATTTTAGAGGAACATTTGCCACACCCAGTACTTCTAGCTTGTGCGCTTCTCCCCCAGCCCCATATAACTCAATATTAGTTGGACTGATAGGACATTTCTTGTGCAAGTTCAATTTTTCATAGAGTGCTAATCTCATACAGGATTGTTCTGCACCAGTATCTACCAAGGCTTTGATATTATTGTCAACTATGTTTGTATGAATAATTATGTTTGAAACTGATCTTTGCAAATTAACCTTGACTGATTGAACTGCAGGGATGGCCACCTTGCCACTATCACTTTTCACTTGTTTAAACTTTTGATTGTCAACTTTAGTTTCAAGGTGCCCATCCCTATGAGGAACAGGCGCGAGTCCTCATTTAGCAACGTTTCGACACATATACGAATAATGCCCACCGCGACCACACTGAAAGCACTGCTTAAACCTAGCATAACAATTTAATGAAAGGTGGTTTGACTTACCGCACCTCTCACACTGGTTTCTGCTTGATGAATTTTGCTGCATAAATTGTTGGTCATGTTGGGGATACCGTTTCTGTTGTTGCGTAAACTGTTGATTCCCAGGAAATTGGTTCTGTTGTTGAAACGGATTCTGCGGTTGATACTGCTTTTGCGGTTGGTACTGATTCTGCGGTTGATACTGGTTCTGCTGTCTTTGTGCACTTTGTTGCACTGGAAACTGGTTATTGTTGGCATAGCGTTGACCCATGGCATCGACTGTGACTGCAGCAACGGATAGCTTATCGACTTTATCCGTGAGAATTTTAATCGAGGCTGCTAACATCTCTGGCGCTGAATCTTGGGGCATGTTGCTATGAATCCTTGCGAACTTAACAGCTTGTTCTAAATTTTCAGGTTCTTTGAGCCTTACAAAGTTCTTTGTAGATGTATTTAATCCTTGGACAAAGAGTTCTTTAACATCCTCAGCATCCTTCTTTAGTCTGCTGGTATAATACATGAGCTTGCTGTGGAATTCATCCACAGACATATCATTTTGTTTGAGAGTATCCAATTTATCCAACAACTCCCATCTTTCCGATTGTTTGGGTGGGAATCTTTCTTTAAGTGCTTCCGTCAATTCCTCCCAGTCGTTCTTTGTATTTTCCTCTAATTGTTCAAAGTATTTTGCTGCTTCTCCTTTGACTAAAAGTGGGATTAAACTACATTTTCTTTGTTGGTTCCAGTTCTTTAAATTTGCGAATGTGTCAATAGTGTTTAACCAAATAATAACGTTTTCTTCTGATTTTCCATGGAATTTGTCCAATATTGATAAATCCATTGTTGTTAAACCTCAGGCAGCTCCACCAAAATATGACCGGGCTTTCTTTATATTAATTGTACACAAAAGTGTGATGTTTTAATTTCTATCTTTTATTTATTTCACTTGTTTTCACTTCTAAGCTACTGCTAAATCTAGTTATGTCTTTTTGAAGTCTAGGCCGAAAGTGACCCAAATCTCTCACATGGCATATAGTATATTCTTCAAAACCAGACATCACATGATCACTTCAAATCTGTTATGTAAAAAGTTTAACAATAGGAAGACTGCTTCAAATCCTAATTAGAATCCAAGATATAGAAATGTAAATTAAATGTAAATTAAAGAAACATTTGTAAGTCTGAAGATGCTCTGAACAATTGTAATGATTGCATATTTAATGTGAGAAACTGACCAGAGATATCCCAGGTGTACTACATGACCCGGGTTTATCTAAATGCTTTTTGTATCATGTTTCCATTAATTAATTTACAAAGTAAAAACAAAGTAAAAGTATAAGATATTAATTATAAAATACAACATGAAAATCACTCCGTCACACTTTTAATAGAACTTGCATTAAATGTAATATTTATTTTAATTAATACCATATGATTTTTGTTTGGTTATTTTGTTTTAATTACTTCTCAAAAACAATGCTGTTTTTGATTAATTTAATCAATGAATGATTTTGTTGCTAATTTTCATTTATTCATTTCAAATTATTTCCCAGAAAAAAAACAACTTCTGTTCAGTTGTCAAGACTCAGCTTAATTCCAAGGACATTGTAATAAATAATTCAAAATCCAACTTGGGTCATTGAATCATGATTAACAGTCTGTTAACATGCCAGCTCTTATATTTCAATTTGCTTTCCTATTGATTTCTAGAAAAATGAAGTAACCCTGTATTATACTGTTATACTATTGAGCTGTAATTCTGATGGAGCACGTATGTGTTCTTGCTAAGTAAGTTTCAAGTATGAATCGATCTGTCCATTTTATAAAATACATATATCTGTTTTATCACTGCATTACTATACTTTTATGGAGAAATAGCCTTATATAAACATATTTAAAATGCCAAGGTAGATCCACACAATGAGAATTTTTTATGTAATTTTCATGATTATAATTACCAGTAATTACTGAAAGGGTAATATTTTGAACATTGGATATTTGCACATTATGGTAAGATACATATACATGTAGTTCAAAATCAAAATATTGAAATTGCATTTTCCCCAATTTCTTTATTATCAACTTTTTGTGAATGTGAAGAACTACCTTAAGGTTAATATTTTATCATATTTCATCATTAATATTTTATTTCTAATACCAGTTACTCTTATTATTTCACATACATGTACATTATTGAATTTATGTCACTGCTAAATAATTATGTACCAAAATTAAACTATTGAAACATTCTATAATTATAATAGATCTCTGTTGATCTCTTGCAATGCCTCCATTGACATTGTATTCTATTTCTTATGCCAGATTGAAATTGGATAATATGCATAAAATGACTTGATATGGTATTACATGAGTTTTCATTAAAGTTAATCATTTAAGATCTCCAGAAGGGGCAAAGGTTCCTCACAATATACGAGTGTTTCACTTGTAACTTACCCGTATTATTAAATCTTTAAAGGAGATCTATGATGTTGCAATTCATACCAGGTGGAACTTACTAATTAATATTTTTTCACCATGTAGATTTCATTGCCTTTAGCTAATGAAAGTGAGATTTTAGTCCCTAGCTAAATTACTTTTGTGTAAAAATGATGCATCGGTATGAATATATAAAACAATAAAATACCCATGCTAAACATCTTCAAACGATTTTGGAAATGAATATAGACTAACAGTATGATATGTTTCTTATAGATGTCTCTCGAGTGCACCTGAATGATAAATTGAAGACATTCAAGGTATCAACAGCTGTCGGTAAAAGTATTGAGTTGAAATGTGCAATAGAGGGCGCCAATAGGATCATGTGGAAGCGTCACAGTGTTGATCTACAGGAGCTGTCTACCAAAGATATCACGGTTTGTTTATTTATTATTTTTGCCATTTTCAGAAAATCTCTTGAAAGCCAATGGTATTAAGGTACATCAAGCAATGAAAGGGAAATAATGTGTTGAGTATCATAAATGAAGCACTGATATAATGTTTTAATCTCATAAGCCATAGTCTGACATCAACCCCTTGTCATCCTCTCCCCCTAACTTACATAATTAAACAAACTATGATAAACATTTCAGACAAAGGAGTAATGAGTGAGCATTTTAAATCATTTTAGTACTATTGAATCTTTTTTAAATACTCTATTTTTGTTGTAGGTGTTTGGGGATGGGTCTCTCTTCTTGAGTCCAGTGGGTCTACACCATATGGGAAACTTTACATGCCAGGACCCTGATGACCATGATGTAGTCCAAACACATGTCATTAAAGTTAGCAGTAAGTATGGTGCACATGTCAGGGTGGGGGTTAAAGCTTTAGCGTCACTTCACATTCAGGACCTATTGTGATAGGGGTGACTTTGTAGGGATATGTACCCTTTGGATTCTTTTGAATAATATTAGAATACAGGATATCATCATAGCCATAACTTTATTTCCAGTGCCCCCCAAGGCCAAGGTGAGCTACAGTTCCCAGTACCACGTGAATGGTGAAGATGTGGTATTGAAGTGCCATGCTGATGGGATACCTACACCTCATGTGGAATGGCAGGTCAATGAGACTCCATTGGCTGATGACCCCAAACATTACCAATATTTCAGTAAGTGTTTTAAATCAATGTATCATGTATTTATAAGTAAGTAAATCTTTTGTATGTATATAAACTGTGAACGATCTATGCCTCAAACCTTGTAAAAAATACTTGGATAACTTGTGGCATAAAATTGGTTCTTACACCATACATGTAATAATACACATACTGGTAATCATGATGATGAATATCACATGTATATATATAACATAATATAACAAACATGTAATCATTAATTGATATTCTTCAGAGAATAACCAAACTCTGGAGGTGATTCGTGCCACATTCACAAAGGACACTGGAGCCTATAAATGCAAGGCTAATAATGAAGTTGGAGAAGACCAGGATATTACAACTGTCTTTGTGGAAAACTCAGAAGTTCCCCAAGCAAGTCGTAAGTATTCGTAAAAAAGTTACATTGATACAAAATACATCATATTAACATTATGGATACACTTACTTGAAAATCTGTGTCTATATGACTTTATTTGCATTTCAAAATGCTATCACAGAAAAACATAGCTTAATTACTTTTAAATGATAATTTCATTGCTTTTAAATGAATAGGGTGCGTATTTTGATTATCCAATGATTTCCTAAGATGTATTCCATGTGTGCATCTTTCACCCCAACTTTATACTATACTGAATAACATGAAGGAATATATTTTCAGCTATAAACAGTGAGGTGTTTGTTGTATTCCATGATGGTGGTTACAATGTGTATGATCCACAACGCTGTAACGCTCAACATTACATCACTGGTAGTTACAGCAACTTCAAGGTAGGCCTACGAAATTTTATTTAAAACCTTATACATTAAGACCTAGTAAAATGGAAATAAGTATGAAAATCATCAAATTTTTCTTCATGTGAACTTTTCAAATATATATTCAATGATATATTTTATTTAAGCTCCTACACGATGACCCAGTTGAAAGTCTTTGCCAGCAGGGGGAGCCATGTAGCTGGGGTGAGGCTGTTAACGTCCTCAACAAATATATCTACATCAGTCAACCTGATCTCAATAGAGTCATTATCATTGATATCAAAGACAGATTCAATCCAATACAGGTGAGGACTCACAAGATTTTTTGGGTTGTTTTCTACAAAATATCACCCAGATTGTGTTTCACCTTGAGTGTTCACTCCAAATTTCAGCATTCAGCATATTGATCAGATATTTGACACTGTTAATCATATGTTTTGTGTTTTGATCATGTATTGAGATTGTTGATCATGTACATGACACTTTTCATATATCATGACACTTTTCATGTATCGTGACACTTCATATATTCAACACTATTAATCAAGTGCTCATGTACGACCTTGTTCAATTTAGAATACATGACACTTGTATGTCTTATATCCGACATTATTGATCACATACTCATGTGACCTTGTCACATTATTTTTCATTTATTTGTTACTACTAATCAGGTGATCCCAACAGACAAGATCCCAGTTGCTGTACACTATGTAGAGCACCTAGACCAAGTGTGGATCTTGTGCTGGAATAACAAGGACTACGGTGGTGTTAAAACAGCTCTTGTCATTCAGAAGGCATCAGCAGATGGACAGCACCATACCATACACACAGAGCCAGTTGCTAACAGATTCGACCAGGTACATTGATAATTTGGTCTTGGTCTTTCATGAAGCAAAACTTTAAGGCTCCATGTAAATATTCTCAGAAAAAAGATTGGTTTTGATTTTTAACTTATGAAGCAACGAGTTTATAGAATATCCCTCGACCACCCTTTATTTTCTGTTCTGAGGCTCTTGCCATCTATGCGTAGTACCAGCGAAAGTGCTGCTCAAACTTATTTTCCAGTAACAATATGACTTCCTTGCCCTCCCGCCATTTAATCCACGATTATGTTATACAGCACAAAACAGCATGATTTTGTCAATCAACATACATTTTCTCTAATTGATTGGAATAAATAAAACTTGAGAAACTTATGGTAATTTTTTTTGTTCTTTTTCATTATTTAGATTGAGGACATATTTGTGCCAGGAAACAATGACCTATCCCACCAGTTCAGCCATGGGTACGTTGTACACCACGAACAACAGGCTCTCTTCAAGATTGATCTGGAGACCATGAAGTATGTCAGGACCATTGACTTGAAGAAATATGAATGTGTGCCACACAAAGTGGAATATGCTCCTTTAGGTAAGTGGAATCAAACCACATCCCTTTCACAGGGTTGAAAGTGAGAGGGGCAGTGGCATAATACTAGTCTAAGACTAAATAGTGTGTCCAAGACTAAAATTGTGATAGTGTGTATTTATTTTCCCTTTAATTCATTATGCAACATAGAGAAAAGAAATGATAGCATTTGTAAGATCATACGTGTGTATAGGCTGCAATATTGGCCCATAGGCTACAGCAAACCAAGTTGCAATACCTTATTTACCCCACTGAATACATGAAGTCTTTCTGAATACATGGATCCTTTAAATACTGTTTTCAAAGAGTATATCGTACAGTCGTTGAAATCTATGAATTCACATTTTCAAAAAATAAAGTTTTATAGATAAATTGAAAAGGATCAAAAGATTCAGGTTCAGTGAATGTACATAGATGTATTTTTCAATGCAGGTGGAAATATCCTTGTGCAGTGCAACAGCCCAATGGAATTCGTGGAGCCCAAGCCAAAGTTACTCATCCTGGACTACATCACAGATAAAGTCATCGGACTCTACCCTCGTCTTGCTGGGGAACCCTTTGCCACCCCTGATGGTCGATACATCATCAACGTTGATAAGAATTCTGTCACAGTTTATAGTGTAGATGACGAAGGTGTGTTAATCAGTAACCCTGAGTTATATAATAATGTTGATAGATAACTAGACAAGGGCATAGAACGTCATTAACATATAATTAACAAGCATGTGAGAACGAATGAACGAATATATTGAAGTCTTTAATAACCTTAAGGTAGGACAAGTGGTGTGAATGATCTGACTTTTTTACAGTTTACAACTCTCGAAATCCTCACACCTAACCCACCTTATTTTTAGGTAATCTGAAACACTCATTTGATGAATATACCGGTGTACATGTCAGTGATGTTGCTTTCTTCCCATCTGATTCTGGCAAAAGTTATGACTTTTACGCAAGCTCTACAGATAAGAACGACGTCATGTATATCAATCTTGCCACAGGTCGTGTTGAACTCATTGAAGGTGAGTACGATAGAGGATATTACATATTGCTTGTCCCTTTTTCGTTTAGAATCCATGGTTTTAGAGACAGTTTAAGAAACATGACAAAATGCAAGGTTTGGATTTTTTGGACTTAATGATAAGTATGATTTTACATGCACTCTTTATTGTTTAAAAAAATCTTAAGTATTCTCTATTCATATTGATTGGGACAAAGTTCTGTTCCACAAAATCGTCTCATGTCAGTAGCATCAAATAACAGGTTGCATTGCATTGCAGGGGTGGGCCAAGGCATGGAATCCAAAGACTGGCCTTGGAGTAAGAAGAATCGTCGCATCACAAGTGGCGGAGTCTTCGGTGACTACCTTATCACACCCTCTAAGAATTCCATTGTCGTTATTGATGGAAGATTACGTCATGTGCAGTGTGAGTGGAATGATATCATCCATGGAAATGTGGTTGTCTGGGTTGACCCATATCATCTTTAAGTATGACATCATCAGGGGTGTCATTATCATGAAATTTAGAAAAATGGAAGGCATTGTAAGGAATAAGTTAAAGAACTGATTGAGGGACAGTATTTAGGATATAATGTATAACTGATCTAGACAAAATTGTAAGCTGGCCAAGGGACTAGTACTCAATTGAAGAAAAACAACGAAGATAAAATCATCAAAATCTATATACACTGTACCATTATCAATTGATTTACCCGGGGACTCACAGAACTTATTATGCAAATGGTTGTACTGATGGTGCAATTATCACATGTGAGACCAATATGCCCTCATTACACCCCTATACACAAAATAGCAAATCCATAGCACTACTCGTCATAATTTGCTTGAAATTGAAATACTGTTCAAAAGGTGTTTAAAATACAATTTCGACATGAAAAGATGTCTTCTATCATTGATGGATCAAAATATTTTCCCATTTGTATTCGAATCTGTTTGTATGAGTTTACCAGGATAAGGGAACCCCTGGGGATAAATTAAATGTGTGACTATGTTAAACGATCCACATTGTAATTCATAGTCACATTAAAAGAATAGGTGTGAATCACAAAATGATTAATTGACATCATGTGTATGTCATGAGAAGAGAGGAATCTAACGAAGGTCTAAGAGTATCTGCATGATTATATTTGCATGTTTGATGAAAGAGCATAACATCTGCTCTTTCAAGCAGCATGTAGTCATAGTTATGACAAAGACCTTGAACTTTTGGGAATTAGGTGGTCACATAAGGCCTTCACAAGAAAATTTATTTTAACTATTATAATAAAGTTCATGTATCCATTGTCTGTTTCTTAATTTAGAAATAATATCCTGTGAAGGCCTTTATGTTGGGTTAAAATTGTCGAAGAATAGCAACTATAAAAGGGAGAAGACCTGTCTCATTAGAAAAACATCATGTCTGATACATGTTTATTTGTAAAGCATGTATTATTTGTTTCTTCATGTATGTTATCATGTTTATGTAAGTGACTAATTTTGCTGCTTTCAAAACATTTCATATTTGAAAATTTGAAAGTACAGGAGAAATGATGTCTCGAAGCAGTTCAACAAGCTGGTGTTTTACCAGGGTAACCATAGTAACAGTTACCATGTAGTTAAGTTGCCATAGCAATCATAATGTTCTACAGAACAAAGTAGTGTTATTTATATTTTATGTGAATCTAGTCTTTTATATTTTAGTTTACTCAAATGTATAGAAATATTTTCAACTTAGCATTTTATATGATTTTAAATCACTCATATCTTATTTCATGTGTTAATATGATTTTAAACAGAATTAACCAATATTATCATCAAGTATTTTTCTGTTTTACAACTTCATAAGTTTCATTGCAACTTGTAAATAAAACTTGCTGATATATTTGTTGTGTTAATGTAATCCTTATATGAATGTACCCACATATTCTCAGAAATGTATGTACAAATGTGCCAGCATATAGCCTACTAAATTAGATCTGAATTTGTACATTTAAATCTAGAACTATAAATCTAGACCTGGGAATGGTGCAGAGAAACAAATCAATCATTACCAAAGTTGATATTGGATATGCAAGTACATTTTTGCAGTTTTCAGAAAGAGGTTGTATGCTTCAGTAAATGTGAAACATTAATACATTCATAGTTCATACATAGTGTAGTGGCTTCATTGAAATATTGTGACATATACAGGTTTATATACAAAGTATGTACATGTAATTACATACTTAGATGTGAGTATATTTCAACTTCAAAAAGTGCAAACAGTTCAATGAGAATGTAGTTACAAAATTAGATATTAGTTTTAAATACCTGTACATGTATGTGATTTAAAGATACAATTTTAATATCCACCATGTCTCATTTGGTTTTGAGGTAATAAAGAATATAATTTCAAGTACCTTATATGGTACTTGGACTTTATGTGATGATTCAATAGCATGCCCTATAAGGTCATAGAGAATGTGATTTCATACATTTCTCATTGAATATTTTTTGCACTTTTACTGATTTTAGGCCCTGAACTATACTGTATATTAAGAATCTGGTTTGTAAAATATTTCTACAATCTTCGATACTTTTGTACATAATTATGTAACTGACGTGTATATGTGTATATTATGGTGCTGTATGTTTTCATATCGAAGTGTCATTATGTTATCATTATGTTATCTTAGCTATAGCAACCACTTGTTTCTATAGCAACCAAATTATAACTCTTATTTAATTGGTGACTTGTGATAACTCTGCATCAAAAAAGGTTAATTTCTAATAATGAAAATTCTTTCAGTGGAGCATCCATTCTCTACAGTTAATTTCCAATATTTAAAAACTCCAGAGGCAGTAGGGGCAATCATTCTCTGTCAGTGCCCTCTATGTGTAAATAGAAGGTGAACATATAGCGTAGCATTACAGTGAATGGTTGTGGTGGAAAAGTGATGATCTCTATGGTGTTAGGTGTGAAGAAAATATATGTAAATGTGAAAGAATATTGGAACTAATATGGGAAAAATATGTGAAAAGGGAAGGTCTTAGTGGATCTATATACCACACAAAAGAGGAGGATTTGTTGCTATGTGTAGGGAAGGATTGTGCATTTGTTTGCAAAGGTAAGGACATTTGGGTGTATGTAGAGGAGACATATGTGGGTGAATGGGTTTATGTACAGATGATACTGCCATTGTAGGTAAGGAGTATGTAGAGAAAGATTATGTGGACATACAGGGTGTCCATAATGTATTGTTACATGTGACACAGACTTTGAATTGTAAAGAGGTATTATGGACACCCTGTATATATGGAAGAATTAGGTTGAATATACAACTGTGGAAAAGGCTTATTTGGAAGAAGGAAATTGAAAGAATATGGGTGTATGTGTGGGATTGTGTTACGTGGAAATGGTTGCCATAAGAGGACCCATATGTGGATATAAGGAAGAACTGTGAATGTAAAGGTAGAGACTTGGTAAGTGAACCAGACTATAGTCATTATGGGGGACTTGTGAGTAAATAGAGAAGGGATTATGTATATGAGCTCATGTATACATGGACATATGTGAGTTCTTTGTATATGCAAAAGATTGACTTTCTCCTGTGTTACCAGTACAGAGGAATACCATTTGTTGAAAGAATCAAGTGCGTTGGATAACTAGGGAAGAACTGTTAAGCCAAGATCAAAAATACAAATTATACAGGGGTGTATAGCTAGAGAAAGGTTTTGGGAATGCTTGAATGTTGAAGTGAGCAATACAAAAAGTATGAATGCCAATATAGTAATTTTCTTAACTTTCATTAACTGTTTTACACATATGTATTTCATCATCCTCTGATGGCTGATATTTTGTACAATTTACTTTAAATGTAAATGTATAAGATAAAATGCTTTGTTTGTAAACTACTCATTTGTCAGTAAATAAAAATAGCAGTGAAAGTAAAATAATTTATGTTTTGTAAAATAAAATTTGTGATCCGGGACCAATGTTTTGATATTCAAAACATCTACAAGTGCAGTTGGGGAGTAATAATGTTTGACATAGAAAACACACATATTGGGCAACAAAAGAAAAGAAACGAGTCCCTACTTTTTTGCTATCGTTGTTTAATTTGTATTCTGGGTCAGGAGGTGAGACTGCAAAAATATCATAAAACATGTCTTCCATCAAAATGGAAGGTTGACAATATTGACAGTAATGCCAGCTTTGACAATTGACAACAATATGTTCCAGTTTAAAAACCATTCTTGAAAGATCAAACAAATAGCTTATACATGTCGGTGCATCTGGTGACATCCCATTGTACAACCTATTATATGATTCCCTACAGTATTATAATTATGAAGTGCAATAGAATTAAAGTGTGTGTGAAGACAACATATGTAGAATTGATCTTACATGAATAATCAACTCTGCTACTTAGACCTCTCATTGAATCTTCAAATAAATCACTTTATGGTACATTGTAAAATATTTGCACATTTCATGAACCTTCTAATGATGTTCAAAATAGAAATGTAATATGCTAGGCTTATAGCTTGTAGAATTTTCTGACAATGTACCCTAGACTGTTCTGAATAACTTATGTCATTGACAAAGCACTTAACCTAACCCAATCAATCCATGAGATGCTTGAATAGAATTATGGAAATCATCATGTGAAATCATCAAATATACACAACCAGCTCTTTTCTAAGGATTACACAGCAATTTCTGATTTGAACAAAATGGTAATACATTACATCATAACAACTGTGTTTCTTTGGTAAGTAGTTAAGTACTTTTATTATTTTAAAGGTACAGCATCATTTAAATTGTAATTGAAAGATAGAATTCAAATCAGATTAACTATTGCATCAATTTCGGTCCTTTAAAATACTTTTGACATCCATTTTGTTTGTTTTTTATTGAAGGAAGTAGAAGAAATAGAGAATATAAATTGTGAAAGCAATCTTTTAATAAGCATTCCAATATACTCTTTACAATTCTATTTTTTGAAAAGAAAAGCAATTGAGATATCTTATTAAATATAGAAGTTTTTGAAGATTTAAAAAAAATGTCCAAATTCATTAGAATTGAAATGGAAATATCCCTCTATCACTGATACCACTGTATCTTGCATATATTACAGGATTACCTATGTGGTCCAAAATGTACAAACTACACACCCAACAACCATCCATGATAACTGTATCATAGGAGCTGGACCAGCAGGCTTACAAATTGCATACTTCTTACATGAAGCAGGCCGTGATTACATGATTTTTGAGCGGTCGAATGCTTCAGGTATTTTAGCTACAATTACAATGATATAACATTTTTATCCTGAACTACCCAACAATTGTAATTATATTTTAACTACTTTCCAGAATCAGCAGCTGAACTAATTCAAAGGTCCATGTGCAGTATGGCAAGTGATTTTAGACAGTCATATCTTTCACCATGAGTACTTTCTGGCCATAAATACAGTGGTTTTTATTAAACAATATGTTTTCTTTCAAAGTCCCCATGATGATAAAATATCAATCCAACTCTCTGAAAAATTATGGTTTAGGACCCCACCTTGGCACTTTTTAAAAAATGTCAGGCTTATTTTCTAAAAAGAGGATCTTGTTTTTCTCAATTTAACCATACCAAAAGTTTCTTCTTCACTATATTAATAACTTCTGAAAAGGAGATTGGTATTGAAATGCATTAAAGTTAAAATCAATGTATCCCATATTATTTTCCCATAGGGAAAACTCGTGCTTTCCATTGTTTTCAGCATAATTTTTTATCTCCAAAACTAGACTTTCAATACCATTCTACCTTTGAAGACGTTTTAGACCCCTTTTTGAATAATCTTTCCATCCAATAAAAATCAGAAAAAGGAGATGCAGCATGTTGAATTAATATAACTTCACCTTTGTTTGCTTGTTTGTTAATTGTTGATTGTTTTTTTGTCTGTTATTGATATACACATGTAAATGTACATACATTTAGGTGATTTCTTCAATTTGTACCCTCGTCATGGTCAACTGATTAGTATTAACAAGAGGTTTACTGGGAAAACGAACAAAGAATTCAACTTAAGGCATGACTGGAATTCCTTACTTAGTCATGATGAAAGTTTACTTTTCCGACACTACTCTGAAGATTTCTTCCCAAAACGTTCAGCAATGGTGAACTATCTGCAGGACTTTCAGAAGAAGATTGGATTGCGAGTGCAGTTTGATAGGAACATCAATAATATTCAGAAAGATGGCACTACTGGGTTGTTCAGCATGAATGATCAACATGGAAATCAATACAGCTGTAGGTGAGTGATTAACTTGATGAAATCAATACAGCTGTAGGTAAGTGATTAACTTGATGAAATCAATGCAGCTGTAGGTGATTAACTTGATGAAATCAATGTGGCTGTAGGTGGTTTACTTGATGAAATCAGTATGCTGTAGGTAAGTGATTAACTTGATGAAACCAATACAGCTGTAAGTGATTAACTTGAAGAAGGCAATGCAGCTGTAGGTGATTTACTTGATGAAATCAATGCAGCTGTAAGTGATTAACTTGACAAAATCAATATAGCTGTATGTGATTTTTCCTTTGATTCTTGACCTATTCTGATGGCATTGCGACTTCAACTTACATGAATCACATGGTAAAATTGTATCCATGGTAAAATTGATATTGCAGATACTTGATAATGGCAACTGGACTGTGGTTGCCCAACATCCCCATGTATGATGGTATAGAGCATACTACTGGCTATGAGAGTGTTTCTACTGATCCCAGAGACTTCCAGGGCAAGACCATCATGATTCTAGGTAGGTATTTTTTAAAATTTATTGCCTTATATTATACAAATGATATCATTATCCACAAATAGGAATTTACAAAAGAGCACATAGGTTATCGCAACAATTCTGACAATGAAGACAGATTTATCTTTTAGATCAATTCAGTATCTCAAAGAAAATTATATACAGTAATAATTAAGTCAAACAAACTCGGAGATATTTAACTAGCAATCAACCCATCAACACACTTTTTCAAAGATGTTGACCCCATTTTCACCAAAAATGCAATCATTTTTTACAATGTTTAATGCATTACTATTCTTTATTTTGATGTATCAAATAGTTCTTGAAAGAAAGACTTAATTGCATTAAGATAAGTGTTCCCCATGTTATTTCTCCATTGAAAATCTCATGCTATCCATTAGTTTCAGTTCATTTTGGTCATCCAAATTCAGTATCAGGTCTGATGAACTAAATTATCTTTATATATACTTTTCTTGAAGATAATGAATGGATCTAAAAGATACACCCATGTTCATGATCAGAAAATATTCAAAATTCAAGTTAGAATCGTTTAAAATTGTTTGCGTTAACCTACGTGCTCCTTTACATTTCTGACACTATGGGTCCCTAATCAAAGTAGCCAAGTACTTTTGATTTACAGTGCTACTTTACTTTAAAATGTATATGCCTAATATTTGTTATACTTTCCCTTCAGGACATGGTAATGCAGCATTTGAGACGGCTGATGCCATATATGGGCATACTAACCTGGTACATTTGGTTGGGAGTTCTAGAGTGAAGCTATCATGGGAGACACATTATGTTGGAGATCTCAGGTAAGTGGAGAAAACATTACCAGTTTTAGGCACTTATTTCAATCTGGCATTTGTTATCGTACGCCATCTATTAATTTAATTGTAGATGAAACTATTTTTCATACGTGTGTGTACCGTTCATAAAACGAAACAAGATAAAAAATGCCTGTTTAATGAACATACCACTATAACAGTATAAAGCCCAATGATTAAAATTTCATCCAATATTAATGGGTAACAGTGAGACATATAACTAACAAGAATGACTAGAATCTAACAAATGACATTTACCAATTCAAGCCAAACTTGACCTTAAATGATAAGTATTTATACCATGTTGTAGAGGTGTAAACAATGCTGCACTGGACACATATCAGCTCAAGTCCTTGGATGGGGTGGTTGAAGCATCCCTCCACAACACAGTTATTGAAAAGGTTGGGGATAAAATCAGGATCCGCATCAGGGGAAATGTGCCTGACAATGTCGCAGTGAGAGAAGACTATGATATGATCATAAGATGTCTTGGCTTCAAGTTTGATAATTCTATATTTAACAGGTACACACTTGAATATATGAGGGGGAGGGGGCAGGTAAGATCTATAAAACACTTTCAAGATTAGCCCGCTACTTAAAGTGGATCACCTCTGGTTCTAAATACATTGATAATGCAACAATTTTTAAACAAGGCATTAACATGACAAAATGTCACCACCTAAAACAATTTGGTCAATTTAAAGCAAGTTGGAAAATACCTTTTGACCTTAAGAAGGTTTGATTTGAACTTCTTAGAACATGTAGATGATTTTGAAAAAAAAATTCGTCAATTTGAAGCAAGTTGAAAAAATACCTCTTTGACTTTTTTTGACATTGAGAAGGTCATTGAAGGTCAAATGTAAAGTCAGATTTGAACTTCTGAGAACATGTAGATGATTTTGAAAAAAAATTAAGTAAATTTGAACCAAGTTGAAAAAAGACATTTTTGACCTTGAAAAGGTCATTGAAGGTCAAATGTCAAATCTAAAGTCAGATTTGAACTTCTGAGAACATGTAGATGATTTTGAAAAAAAAATTAGTCAATTTGAAGCAAGTTGAAAAAAGACCTTTTTGACCTTGAGAAGGTCATTGAAGGTCAAAGGTCAAATCTAAAGTCAGATTTGAACTTCTGAGAACTTGTAAAGTCAAATTTGAACTTCTGAAAAGATGTAGATGATTTTGAAAAAAAATTTGGTCAATTTGAAGCAAGTTAAAAACAGATCTTTTATGACCTTGAGAAGGTCATTAAAGGTCAAATGTCAAATCTAAAGTCAGATTTGAATTTCTGAGAACATGTAGATGATTTTGAAAAAAAAATTAGTCAATTTGAAGCAAGTTGAAAAAAGACCTTTTTGACCTTTTTTGACCTTGAGAAGGTCATTGAAGGTCAAATGTCAAATCTAAAGTCAAATCTAAAGTCATATTTGAATTTCTGAAAACATGTAGATGATTTTGAAAAAAAAATTTAGTCAATTTGAAGCAAGATGAAATAATACCTTTTTGACCTTTTTTGACATTGAGAAGGTCATTGAAGGTCAAATGTCAAATCTAAAGTCAGATTTGAATTTCTGAGAACATGTAGATGATTTTGAAAAAAAAATTTAGTCAATTTGAAGCAAGTTGAAAACAGACCTTTTTGACCTTGAGAAGGTCATTGAAGGTCAAATGTCAAATCTTAAGTCAAATCTTAAGTCAGATTTGAATTTCTGAGAACATGTAGATGATTTTGAAAAAAAAATTTAGTCAATTTGAAGCAAGTTGAAAACAGACCTTTTTTGACCTTGAGAAGGTCATTGAAGGTCAAATGTCAAATCTAAAGTCAGGTTTGAAGGTCAAATGTCAAATCTAGAGACAAATCTAAAGTCAGATTTGAATTTCTGAGAACATGTAGATGATTTTGAAAAAAAAATTAGTCAATGTGAAGCAAGTTGAAAAAAGACCTTTTTGACCTTGAGAAGGTCATTGAAGGTCAAATGTCAAATCTAAAGTCAGATTTGAACTTCTGAGAACATGTAGATGATTTAGAAAAAAATTGAAGTCAGTCTAAACAGTATTTGTTAAGTTATAGGAAGTTGTAAGAAATTGTTACAGACGCCGGACGCCAACCGCCGGATGCCAACCGCCGGACGCCAACCTCCAACCGCCAGACGCCGTCGCAAAAAAACGGAGACCATAACAATATGTCACCACTTTTGGTGGTGACATAAAAATTCCATAAGTTTTTTAATTTAGGAAAATTTGCCACTTCTTAATATCCCTCTTTAGACTCTTCTTTAAAATATTTAATGGGCCTAAAAATATCTCTATCTATTATTTCATTGGAAGGAGTGGTAACGCAATGCCATCTCATGGTCCAGGTAAACGATCTAAGTTTCCGAAGATAACTGACAACTATGAAGTTGAAGGGGTGCCTGATATGTATGTGGCTGGAACAGCAAGTCATTATGTGGACTTTAGGAAATCAGCTGGGGGATTTATTCATGGATTTAGATATACAGGTGAGAGTTCTTATAATAATTTAGTATTCATTACATTCAGCATTTCATTTTGAGATGTTTCCTGATCACATAGCATATTGTCAAACATTTTTGAGGCAGTTTTCATTTAAATATGCTATTCTAATATGATACGTGACGTCACAATAGCTAGAACAATTGATAAACTGGTCCATATTGGAGTATGAATGACCGCTAAAATTCTTAAATGCAAATAGTTGTGTTTCTTGTCTGTTTATCATATTAGAATCATAACAAAGACCTTGATTTTATGATTTATGTCAAATATATGACCTACGCGATTTCAATCTTTTAACAATGAACAGAATACAATTTTCAGTCATATATTAAGCCATAAATCATAAAATCTCAGTCTTTATTCCTTAAATAAAGAACAGTGTCTCTATCAAATCTGTTTAATAACCAAATTCTATTTTATATCCTATCTCTATATCATATTTACATGTAAGCAAAAGCATTATTCCGTCTGCTTGAATGGAGGAATTATGGGACAGCCTGGCCTACAGTGCCACCTATAGGAATAGGTCAGTTGGTGAATACAATAGTGAAAAGGGTGAATGAGGCTTCTGGTACATACCAGATGTTTGACGTCCTGGCTGACATCATCTTGTTAAATAGGTCAGTTAAAAATAAAGCTTGCTGTGCTCTCTTGAGCAGAAAATAGTTGCCACATGCAACTTAATGGTTGACAGTTTTGCAATTATAGCAGTCATTAAAATAAATGTTTTGATTGAGATTTAAACTCCTACCATACAAAGTAATGGCTTAAAAACAATTACATGTGGCTTTCCTTAACATAAAAAATGTTTTCTTTTAATCTTTAGGACCCAAGAAACATTTCAAGTGATAGAAGAATTTCCACTAAGGTTGCTACCTCATTTTTACAACAATACAGGCCACCAAATAGATTCATTCCTAGTATTGGTGTATCAATATGGAGCAAACTTTTCTGGACCTGGATCAGACCCCTTCAAACCCAACCGAGCTACAGGAGACCCCTCGAATGCTCACAAATCTAACTTCTTACACCCCGTAATCTACTACTATGATAAAGTACCAGCAGGTTTGTAAACATTTTGAGACACCTTCAGTAAAATTAGCATTGTGACATCAACTAAGAATCGTTGTAAAGGAATGAAAAGTATTTGACTTTTTATTTCATGTGACATATTACGTCTTCTAATCCTACATACAATCCTTCATTTCAGTCGAGGAATTTCAACATACGAGTGAAGCCAACGTATTACCACACCCACAGGGGTTGCACCATATTGTAGAGGATTTCCTGACATCATGGACCAGCCAGTTAACACACATCCTCCCATTAAGAAAATTTCTACAAGATTGCCTGGGTACAGACTTGAGACAATTTAGTTCTGAATCATGTCTTAAGATGGCTCTGACTTCATTGACATTACCTGTGCAATGTAAAGAAATAATGGAGCTTGACATATAGGCTTAATTTCAAAAACATGAAGCACCTCTGTCAAATTATCATTGACTGTGTGGGTTGAATTGATTTATCAAACACAATTTCCTTATAACATGTAAATAAGTCAATAAAACCATATAAGATAAATAATTCTAATGAGGAGAAAGTACATTGTATTGACATTTCCATTTTCTTCTAAAAGGTTTCTCATGCTGGTTAATTATCATTAACTTTGAGTACAGGAAATAATTAATTCTATACATCAATTTTCTGACATTAACAATGTGCTTGATGTGATGTTATGTGAATTTCATGTTTTACAGTAATATGAGAGAAAACGAAAAGTTTCAAATGCAAAAACTATAAGCTCAAAAATAGACTGTCTAAATAGTGTAAACTGATAAAAGAGATCATCAATTGACAATAAAACATTTTATGAAACTGACTCTGATAATTCTTAACAAACACTTAACAGTGAAATATTTCACAAAACTACACAATTTATATTAATCCAATGTTTTCCATCTGTAAAAGCAGTAGGCACTGTACCCACATGATATTTCGAAAACAGGTTCGCAAATTGACATATTATGATAAACTTTGGTCAAAATTGTAGGCATTGATCCCTTTTTAGATTTAGTCTCTTATCATGTCAAAGGCCCTGTTTGTGTGCTAGAATATATTATATACTCCACCAAGTGATCATTAAATCTCTCCCCATTTCCCGAACTCCATTGATAACCAAGCTTTTCTGACACAGCCTTTTCTAAAGTTTCATCAGATTTTCCACTACTAGTTAACCAGTTAATAAACTCATTGTTCCATTCTGACTTAGCTGGCCAGTCAAATTCAAATGACAGTTCATTATAATTGATGACAAACGTGGCAAGCCTGCGGGCATAGGCCATGAGCAAGACGCTTGTGCTGGAAATGCTGTAGCCATAGACCAAGGAACGAAGTTTCTTACAGTTTTCAACCATTTCAGTCACGGCATATGGAAGTCGACTGTCTTCTAATGTAGCACCCTGCTCCCCGAAATATCCATTTATGGTATGTCCAAACACAAATGATTCCAACGTGGGTTGATAGTTCTGGGATATAGTGTCTATGATGCCTTTAGTGACCATATCTGTGAGATCAACCAATGCAAGTGACTTCAGTGGCATGTACACAGGGAACATTGATTTCACGACCATAGTTTGTTGGAGTACAACATCAACACTTAACACTGGGTTAATGTCTACAAGAGAGCACCAGAATTCTGAGCTAAACAGGATAGGGTCTTGAAAGTCTATGAGGCACTCCTCATTGAAATATAACAATAAACTCTGCAAACCATTCCTTACTAATGTGGTTAGAAGTTCCTCTGTGATTTTATCCCGTCGGATTTCAAGTCGTTTGAGATTTGTGAATGATCGAAGCATCTGTAGAGTGTCATCTTCAAATTCTGATAGTGCAGCATCTGAGAGGTGTAACTCTGTTATCTTGTTGCTATTCTTTGTGTTCTCTAACATACTTAACACATTGGTGTTCACATAATGCGATGCCCACGGCACGTTTCCAACGTCCAGTCTTACTTGCTGTAGCCTGGTGCAACTACTCAGTACATCCGAGAGACTTATTAAGGCACATTCTGTCCATTTGTTCATTGTCAAATTATACAAGACTAATTCATAGTCTCTCGATTGCTGAACTAGGCTCAACCTTTCCAAGTTCCAACAACTGTTTGCGATATCACTGAGTATCTGAGAGCCCGAAGCTCCCAGGCTATAAACAAAGCCCAGGTGGATGGATCGCATACAATGTCCATATTTCTGAATGCACTCAGACAGCAGCTGTCTATTACCACGAAAATGACTTGTAGCACTTCCCAAATCTTCAGAATACTCTACACTCGGCCAGGCATCTAATGAGAGAAGGTGATTGGTCCAACAAGGAAATACTGATACAAAGCCGATTTTATCATTCCATTCTAGATGTGAGAGAATCTTGACAGCTGGTATCGATGGTAGATGTTCAATATTCAAACCCTCCTCATCCTGGAATTCCATTACAGAACTGGAAACAGAGAAAATATTTCTGTTGATATATTAGCATATCAGGTATGTCTATATATATCAGTATAAACCCTCCAGTCTAGATACCTGTAGCGTGTTATAAAATATAAAGTAATTAGACTTGAATCAGTGATTTACTCATAGGCTTTAGGTTGATAGGAATAATTTCTATCAACTGTTGGAGTATAGTGCCATACAGTGTTCACGGTACCCTGTGGTACCGTTTTAGTCTAAGGTACTGTAGGGTGCCATTTTTATGGTAACATACAGTACAATTTCCTAAATGGTACCGTATGGTACTGTTGCAGATTGGCTGTGTATATTTGGATTCTGGTGCTGCCATCTTTATATCGGCCCAAAACCTATGGATTTACTAGTTATCAATCCACAGACATATAAGATTAAAGAGGCAAGTTGAACCAACATGCTTGTTTAAATACGTACATCAAATCAAAAGTTGCCAAAAGTCTCATATGACCAATTTAACATATCAAATAGTGCCAAAATGACTCTGGTTACAGTAAATTTTCAGCATGAAGGATCATTGATATTCACTTCATATCCCTGGATTGTACCAATGATGCTCATAACTCCAGTTTAATAAATGTTCACTGAAAGGACATCACAATTGATATGTAAAACAGCCATTTTGGCACCACTACTAGCAGAATCATGCCATTGTATCAGTGAATTTGCGAACTATTCGATTTTAAATCAATTTCGCATATGTTTGTTATTTTTCATTCATATTGGGACTTCCGGGACAAAGAAAAAATGTGATTTGACTATCTATATTTTCTCTTATTGCAAGGTACATACATCTTTGGCCGATATAAAGATAGCAGCAGCAGTAGGGCTGAAAAAGTTATTTCATCATGTTTAGGGTCATATAGCTACATATGTTTAGATAAAGTGTTATTTTTTATTTATTTCTAAGGTAGATGCGCATGATGCGATTTTTTGCTTATTCTAAAAAAGTAAGGGATTAAACCAGAGTTTTCTACAGATGACCAATTTGAATTATTTTTTTCAATTTTTTCAATTATATCAATTCACTTTATTTCAAATGTTTCAAATACAGTATTTTACATTGACATGAAAAGACACCCCGAGGGGTGTATAAGTTCCATGTTTATCATACAATATAGCATTTATTAAATTAACAGTCAGGTTATATGGAAAAAAAAATGACAACGCATAAAATGCATCACAATAAAATACAAGTAATGAGAAGAAAGCATTTTTCAAAGAAGATTTAATAATGACTTAGCAAATCAAACTTTAACTTTCGTTCAAATGATTTGATATGTTTTGACTTTTTGAGATCAAGTGGAAGAGTATTGTAAAGTAATGGGCCACTTGTTTCAATTGATTTTCTTCCAATTTCTGTTCTGAATTTTTTTACAGTTAAATTCTTATTAATTCTCGTGTCATGATTATGAATTGCTGTTCCTGGAACAAATAAATGTTTGAACTTTTGAAAAGGAAATTCTGGTGACTCTGAAACAGTTTTCTGAACAAAGCTAGCGGTTTGTAGTTTATGGATGTCAAATATATTCAATATTTGTTTTATGGATTAAGACGATCTATCTCTCTCATAATTTGATATGAAATGTTTATCTTGAATCATAACCATTGTAAGAAAGCCCATGTACACAGGCTGGTGTCGAAAGATTTGTCCGCTGTGACGGAGCATGCTATTTTTCATAGAAACACTAGAAATGCTTCACGATTTATTTTTTAACTCATATGTTTCGTTATATCAAAGATAATTACTTACTCCATGCAATGGATATATCATTTGCGTGTAACCTTCACTTCTGTTTGAAGTCCAATAACGCTAGGAGTAAAATCTATTGAAAACGGCGCCAGAGTATCAAACTCTAAAATTACCATTTCTTTTTTAACTTTTTAATGGCATGATATAGTGACACGATAATATTAACATATGTTTTCAGCATAACTCTGAATGTATTAATGATATATTAATGCATTGGGTCTTTTTAATTTTTTTATAAAAAATAATATTAATATTTTTTGTCCGCTGTGACGGAGCATTTTCACAGTTCACATTTGCAACTGCTCCGTCACAGCGGACAAAAAAATTAAACATTATTTTTTATAAAAGAATTAAAAAGACCAAAAAACATCAACATCTCATTTATACCTTCAAAGTTATGCTGAAACCATGTGTAAATATTATTGTGTCACTATATCGTGCTATTAGAAAGTTAAACAAGAAATGGTACATTTTGAAGTATGATACTCCGACGCCATTTTCAATAGTTTTTCTTCCCAGCGTAATTGGACTTCAAACAGAAGTGAAAGTTACCCGCAAATGATATATCCATTGCATGGAGTAAGTAATTTTGTATGGTATGACGAAAGACATGAGTTAAAAAATAAATCGTGAAGTTTTCTTAGTGTTTTTATGAAAAATAGCATGCTCCGTCACAGCGGACAAATATTTCGATACCAGCCTGTGATGTAGCTATGCTGGTATGCTATGGATGGATGGGTATGACAAAATTCGACCCCTGCGTGGTTGGTGAGTATTCAAATCAATTACCGATTGCTACATAACAATATTTTGGAAAGGAATAAAGACATGTGAAAATGTTGCTCCAAAAAAGTTCGCATAGCAGGATGGTAGAAACAGTGGTATTCTTTAGGTTGACGTGGAAATATGACATAGCGAGTAGTATTTATCTTACGAATTTCATGTAATTTATTGCAGAAAATAGAGGATTTCCCAATGGGGTTGTTACAAGGCTACCTCAAGCTTGACTTACATTTTACAAGAGTTGAGTGTAGTTTCATGGATGGATCTGAATTCAATTAAACAATTTGAGCATGAGGTTTTAATAGAGCCCAGGTAGAAAGCTCATGATTTGAAAATCATAGGCCTCTAATAAACATTGAAAAAATCAAATTCAAAAATGGGAAAGTTTGAACTTTAAATATGAAGCCTTTGTCATATCAGAATGCTTTTTTGTCAACCCCTATGTTATCACATATAGTTCATACATGTAGATATTGCCCAGATCGTTTTGTAGTAGGATCTCATAGGCTCAAAGAATAATTCAGAAGATCCGTCACAAAATTAGAAAATTTCAAAAAAAGTGACCACCTTTCAAAACGTTCCTTATACAAAATGGTATCTGTTTCCCTGTGACCGATTTTGCACTTAATTTAACGGCTTTATAGATCTTCATATTTCTATTTCAACTTGTTTGGTTCGAGTAAATAACCTATTGATGCAGTAATTTGACTTTTAAGACGGCAAATATTTTTCCCTTGATGCGGTCTCTTGTGTGTCCAAATATTGTTGTAATTCTGACGTCACATTTCTGGAATCACTGGAGCTGGAGCACCATTCAGATTTGGACAGACAAGAGCCCGATGATAAAATATCACTGTTTTTGCCTCTTATCAACGCAGTATTGCTTAAATAACGTTCATTGGTGATAAAAAGGTTAAAGAATAACAAGACGCGCTTCGAATGAGGTATGATTTGTCTCATATTTTTCAGAAATGGCTGCACAATCGCCATGCATGCAAAATCGTAATTTTTAAAATTTCGAAATTTTCTTGGTGTCTCATCTTGAGGAATATTTATTGAGCTACTGATCCTACTACACAATAATATGGCCGGGATCTATGATGTAGTTTTAGAATATATGGCGACAGTGTTACAAGAATACCTACCTAATTTCTACTCCGATTTACATTTACATTTCCAGTTTTTTCAGTGACCTTGAACCGAAGAGCCCTATTTTTCACCACATTAACGTGGTAAGTAGTTCAGTAAAACATACTTCACTGAGAAACGCCATGGATCCCTCAAGATAAGACAATGTAATTCTATAAAAAAAATGTTTTACATAGCTTACTTACAATTAATAAATCAGATAAAAAGAGTATGATGCGGACTAATTTCAAAAAGTAGCCCAAAAGTAGGTCCTTTTTTACTTCCGGCATTTCCGGATTTTCAACAAGATTTAAATTGAGTCATCAAACATACCATTTATTTTGAATCATTCACCTGCCAACAACGTATTTAGATCCGGATATCAAAGCATAAAAAAGGTGGACTATTTCTGTGAAGATGGATGAGCGTGGTAAGTTTTAATGTGCTGAGATAGACTAATTGTTTTTACTTTTTCGATTTGTCTCAGACTGTCGTCACTCAACTTCTCACAGGAACACAGTCAGAGAGAATGTTCTGGCGAAATGAGATTCTGGGATTTCAAATTCTTGAAGTTGGGAAACCCGGATGAAAAAATGAAGTCACCTTTTTTAATTCCCGAATCTCTCCGAAATTAGCTCATCTTGGTGACTGTGTTCAATCATGGGCATTCAACTAGTTGAATGCCCATGGTTCAATGGAGTCTTGTCATATTCAATCAGCCTCAATTTTAAAGTGTATATTTTATTTTTAACGTGATTTCATCGTTTTTTGTCGACTGGTAAGAATCCGCTGGGCTAATGGCAAGATGGATGACTTTTGACCTGACCTTGACCGATGGCGGTGACGTCATCAATTTTATCTCGACGTTGATTGGTTCAATGATGATTGTTTGGGAAATTTGAATTTAGTTCTCGTAACCTCCTGTGACCTCCCGAATAGGTCACGTGACCTTGTGCCAGAAGTCCGACTTTTTTGTCAGTCGACCTGTTCAAAGTACATTTAGTAATAATTATCGCTTTTCAGAACAATTTAGGAAACAATATTTTCTATCTACGTCGATTACAAAGCATCTAAGGTGCGTAAATTTATATGAACAACTGAGTCAATAGGGATAAATAGCCCAACGGGAGTCGGCGGTCTTGAAAAATACTTGGATCTGGATGCCAATCCTGTTATTGATATCATTCCCGTTCGAAGAACGTATTAGATGTCTGTGCACAGGAAGTTGTATCAAGTCCTTTTTGGACCTAACAGAGCTTTTTGCCCTTCCCCACTCTTAGAACAGATGTATTCCTCAATCGGCTAATCGTTTCACAGATCAATTAAACATTTTCAGGAATGATTCTCAGTATGCATATCTTGAACTGATAAGGTTTTGGGCATTCTGGGTAAAATCAAGGTGGATTTTGGATTAATGTTACTTCCTGCGAAAGCTATTTGGATTTTGATATAATAGCTTTCCCACGGCGCACTTGGTCTCTAACTGTGTCATACAGTATCACCAATCCATGCAAGTATTGGAGCGCTGAAATACTTCTTTTTCGATCAAGACTTGTAAATTGTTCATCGAGTGAATGTTTTATCAACCCATTTCCAATATGGCGGTTTGCTTGGAGCCAGATACGCAACGAACGAAATGAACTTTGAGAATGAGTTAGGTTCGGACAACCTTCGGAGATTTACGAAAAATGTCTGTGCAGAAAACGCCATATTGGAATTTGGCAGTAAAAACATTCACTAGACTCACAATTACAAGTCTTGATCGAAAAGGAAGTACTTCAGCGCTCCAATACTTGCACGGAAGGATGATAATGATGTATGACATAGTTAGAGAGCAAAAGTAAGCCGCGGATCGACTTAATTCGTGTTTCAAAGGTCACTATTATTCAGCTGTGTGATTTCCCTGTTAGAGAGCCATAAGTTTCAAAATCTAACATGGCTCTCGAAGTGAGTAAAATTTATGATCTTCCATAGAAAAGTTTGGTGTGCATTTATTGGAGTATGTGCGCCTATTAGAAAGAATACAGTAATTCAAATAATATTTGTTAGAATAGAAATTGTGCCAGCATAAACCGAATCCATGCTGTTGGCTGGTGGCTGCGTGACAACAGACTTGCCTGGTGCTGGTAAAAAAAAAAATATTCATTTTCAGTGACTTTTAACTAGCAGCTTCATATATCCAATCGATGCTCCTGCATCCATTATACTCTGATTGCTATACTTTTGGTAAAATATTTGCATTTTCTTGATAAATTGTCCAAGATTTGTTCTGTTTTTGAAGTGTCGCTCAACTGAGCATAGAAGATAATGAGCTAATGCTGTGATAACACCATAGTGATTGGCAAATCACGAAGCTGTGTGCTATTCGTCAAGACTGGACCGACAATAACATAGTGTCAGAAAAGCATATGTCTGTGATCGGTACAAGGTGGTGAAGTAAAAGGAAACAATTATAAAAAGACGCAGACTTAGGCAAAGTTCCCCATTAAGGAGAACTTGAAATATTTCAAAGAATTAATGATTACTCATGACTGTCAGCGCCTCTTCAAACTATGAACAGCTGATTGTCAACGTCAACATAATTCTTGTCTATATGTGCATATCGAATATGCATAGTGTTATTAGTTTAAAATATAACTTCTCAGAAGGTCTTATCTCAGACTAGTTTCAAATAGTACTTTATGGCTTTTTAGGAGATTTCATATCAGATAAAAGCACAGAAATAAATGTTCATGTGACTTTTACAGGTAAATATATTCGTAAATTAATGTGGTCATCAGTTTCATTTTAAATTTTCAAGAATTACTGATTAAGATTTTCTATTTATTACAACAGTAAAAAGTACTGAGGTAAGTCATTTTGTAATGAATCAGCTGGTAATTTTACAGCTGTTGTGTTGCACTACCAGTATGTGGGTGGAAGTGCCTGGCCAGTATATATATAAAAGCAGGTATAATAGCATGAAATCATTCAAAACAGGAAACTTAAAGCTAAAACAAGGAAGTAATATTAAGCTATTGATTTAGGATATTGGAAAAGAGTTATCAGCTGAAGTTAGTTATATCTTAAAAAATCAAGAAAGCTTGCATGTTTGCATGTTCACAAAGGCAATATTGATTGGTAAGTCTGTGTATTTTGAATATTTGATAAGTATTTGGTTATGTTGACCTTGTTTTATAAAAGGTAGATATGTTATTTACTTGCTTATGACAGCGTGTCTTGTGACTGATTTATTGTTTTGAAATAAGTGAGTTTGTAAGTTCAAATTTCTTTTCAAATTGGTGACTGAAGTTTTACTCAAGCTATAATCAGGTAATATTCGCTGAAGGAAATCATAAGTTTAAATATTTTTTCAATAGTTTAAATATTTCTTAAATAGTTTTTCTCTTAATGATCTTGTATATTGAATATATCCTAACATTCATATACATATAAGCTCGGTTTGTTTTGAATTCTACAAAAATTGATGCAACTTCCTTCAAAACTGAGCTAGAAACTTCAAAGAAAAAGCATTTTAAAGCTCTTTTCTATTTAATGGTTTTAATTTTATTGGTTCACATCCATCATACCTCCTGGGTATGCCTATGTATGTTTATATAGTTCATACCCCATACAATAATTTTTATGTACAGTGTACATGTATTTGTTTCACACTGACTAGATGTGTTTTAAGCCATTTAAGTACTACATTCTGTCTTATAAAAGCCCACTTGAAAATTGATAACAATGATGTCATACTTTGAAATGTTATCAAGTGGTAAAATGATAACAAAAAGTGTTTTTCATTTTAATATCCAGGGCTATCGATATGATATTATTTCATAGATAGAAGTAAAGCAGTAATTATTGATACTTCAGTATTTTTGCGACATAAAAATAATTAAGAAAATAAAAGTCACATTCCAGAATTTCGTAGAGAAGGATATAGATAATGGCCTAGTCACATAGCCCGGCCGATGTCCGGCATCGGTAGAGCTCGGTGGATTTTTTTTGGTGCCACCGTGCTCTCCTTATCGGAAGCAGAGCTCGGTGACGTGAACGGACTCCGTCCGGACATCTTCAGGCGACCGACCGAACAACGGCCGGTGACCGTACGGAGTCTGTCTCAAAATGGTAGTTTTTTTCTGCCGATGTGGCAGCAACTACCGGCCGGAGGTCGGCCGGACATCGGAAGGAATACAGCCGGTACCCGAGCAGGTAACAGGACACCGTGCGATTGCCGGCCGGGTTGTTAACGGGCTTTGAACAGTGACCGGCCGATGCTCTGTCCCACATCGGCCGGAGCTCGGTCGGAGCTCAGCCGCTGTCCGTTAAAAAACCTCGTCCTCTGGTTGTCTCAGATGCACGGGACACCGGCCGATACTCGGTCGTGCACCGGCCGACGTGTTTTCCGATGTGGTTACGATGGGGCTGCGATGACATGATGAGGGAGCTCGGTGAGAGCCCGGTGAAATTTAACTCCGAAGTTAAAATTTCACAGAGCTACCACCGATGCGGTTTTAAGCAACAAACGCCACGGATGTCCGGCCGGTGTTCGGCCGAGTTAGGTGAAAATTGCATCGCTGGCTCATCGTAACCTCATCGGCCGGGCTATGTGACTAGGCCATAAGCCACCCTGAAGGATATAAGAGTTGCCTCCCTATTTTTTATAAAAATGTACCATATTAATTGATAACTCCAATACTGGTTGTTTTAGATTTAGTTCAAATTTTTGTAGTATGATGCCTTTTGGGCATAGGGACAGGGTCTCTTCAAAAGAAGGAAATTTTAATGGCCAGGATTTTTCTTCACCAACTTAGGTCATATTTTATGTAATCTTGAATTATTAGGTTTACAATCTCCATTCAAGAGGGAATTTCCAAAAGTCTCCCAATTCAAGATTGCTGCAATTATTTGTAAAAAATGATGTTTGTGTTATATATGTTTAAAATATTATTGTTTAAACATGTAAGAAACATTTATCTGGCTGATTTTTTAAGAATTTGACATTCAAAATTCAGTTCAAAATGGATGTAATTTTCCATAAAATTACATGGCTGCTTGCCTCAAAATGGCCACAATATTAGGCAATCTCTTAAATGTTCGATGAGATTTGCTGATATAAAATCAGAGAATAGGATTTTGATCTTAGTTGCTTGCATCTGACTTTTATCACATTTATATTGGCAAACCAACCAGTAAAACAAACTAAAAGTATGAATTGTCATTTGTTCATTTTAGATACTGTTTTTCTGAGCATGCTAAATCCTCCAAATATTCAAGTTGAAAACTCTTCATTTAGAAATAGTGATTCTAAGGTCAAACATTAGGACATTAAGTGTCTAGATTCAATATTTGGTTACAGCATTGTATTTGCTCATTTGTTCTCACTTTAAAGACAAACTTAGAAACCATATATTTTAATTTATATTTTTCTTTATTAAAAGGTATTAACTTGATCTTCAAAATGTGTTCAGCTTATAGGGATGTTCACACCTTTTCAAAGGGATTTGCATTTCTGTAAAAATATTACACCAAGGTTGACATTTCTTTGTAATCGTTGCTGGAGGTTAAAGGGGTCAATCAATTGATTTTAGAATGTTGATGTTCCTTTAATTAGCTCAGAAATATGTATGTTGAAATATCCAATGAATGAAAAGGAAAGTGAAATTTCTGACATAAAAAACTGTATGTCATGATATTTAAATCAAAAAATAGGTTTCTTGAAACGTCCTTGTCTGCAGAAATGTCAATATCTGTATATTTGTTGAAATATAATGATTGTTCCCACTGACTGTATCTTCTGGTGTCTTGCCAGAGACCACATCAGGTCAGCATAGTCAAACAATGTTATACAAGGTTCACTTAAGGTCTCTGACAAATTGGATTGCTGTTATGCAACTCCTATGGCCATTACCTTCATACAGCTATATAGTGCAGTTTCAAATTAAGAATTGGCATTTGACTGCATTGAAAACACTTGACTGCTAAAGGACTATTGATTTTATGACATTTGATTGTTTTTTTGTTTTTATAAATATAAAAATAAACATAAATAAAATAATGCATAACAATACAAGTAACCTGGAACAGCCATGCTATATAAGTGAAGGGAAATATATCAGGCATATAAGTTGTTGAAGATTATAACTGGTAACTTGAATAACAACAGATACATGGATTGACCTGGAGTTCTCATTAATTATAGAATTTGGTAATTAGCACTAATTACACATTTTACATAAATCAAGACAGAAATATTTATGTGAATTACTGGACTCGAATATATTTTTAGTTGTTTAAGTTCATGGAATAGTGCAGTTAGTTTGGCTGAATATTGCGACTGCTTGATGTATGAATTTATTTTGTATATGGCACAGAATATATACTATAGAAAAAAATATGACATAATACAATAAAGTACAGTATAGTACAATACAATATATAATACAGCACAGAAAACTACAGTACAGTACAGTAGAGTATAGTATAGTTAAGTTACTACAGTATATATTTTAAAGCAATGAGGAATCTGATTTACCATATATGAAGTACTACATTTGAGATTAAGGATAACATTTTTAGCTAGTTTTGATATGGCAAATCTGCCATGTTAAAAGGATTAGAAATTATTTAATTTGGCAGATATTTGTAAAATTCTCCCAAATTACCAAAGGATAACATGATAAAGCAGTTATTGATGAAGATTAAAATTGGCCATCTAGTACAGAATAAGCAAATCGCTAAATGAATGCAGCAAAGTCGTGAAATTTATAGTATTTAAAGCATCATATTCTATTACAGTCTTCGGAGAGTTTGTCTGACAACTGGGAGCAAAATTATCATTTACATAGTCAGACTAAAGAAATGCTTAAGGCAATCAAAATAGCAAGATCTGTCATTACATTTGATATTACATGTATCATATTATATTAGCACCACATAATTGATGTTTATCTGTTGTTGTGTTTCAGATTCAAAGCCCAACAGTCAGGACCAGAACAACACAGACGCATTAACTCAACAAGTGGGACAAGTCAATATGGGAGACACAATAGATGGAAGAAAGTAAGCTATTTTACAACCCTTGGACCAAATGCTTCAAATGCCAATTTAATATACACGGAAAATAAATTGTGTGTTTTTGTAGAAAGTATTTGGTGCAAACTACATGTAAACTGAACAGATATGAAAAATCTTAATATAAGTGTTAATCGTAAAAAATGAATAGATACATTGCATTGTTTCGATAGTCAGGAATATATTATAGTTACGCTGTCTGTGTATTTACCTGAATTTCCAAGATCATTTATTTCACCCAAATGCCATGCAATGAATTTCTGCATTTATTTTTGTTTTACAATAAAACCTGAGCAAACGAGACTGTCTGCTCCTGAAAATACAGCATCATTCTCTTGATCCTTGTTTGCTCAACTATGAAGTTCATTTGTGTATATATGTTCCCCATTTCAGTGGTGGGTCAGATGAAAGGTATAACACGTCTCATCCAAGACGTGGAGTTGCCATTATAATCAACCAGCGAGATTTTGACCCTGATACAGGAATGGGGGCGAGGATGGGCACTGATCGTGACGCAGATGCGTTAGAAGTTCGGTTTTATGCCCTTGGCTTTGAAGTTGTGAGATATAACAGTATTACTGCTACTCTCATGGTGTCAGTGTTGAACAAAGGTAGTTCAATTGGGTTTAGAGTTAGAATGGTGCCCCTTGTATCAATAGCTGGTGTTGCATTGCCTGAATAGTCTTCGAGATTTTAAACCTGGCAACAAGAAGAAAGCACTTTTGCAGTCTTGTATTTTATTTACTTGGATAATTTATCAAAATTTCAGTGGGACATACATTCTGTATGTGTGTGTATGTCAAGCATTGTATTTTTGTTTCTATTCAGAGTAATACCAGCTATTGCTTTAGTATAAACCTCCCTGGTCAAAGCATGCGTTGTTAGAGTGTTCCAACTTTTCTTGAGTTCTTGTGTTTTTGGTTTCACTGTTTGCTTGTAGTTATGACTCATCTTGCTTTATATACATCCATCTGTGAAGGTTTCAACTTTCTCCAAGCATGACCAATAGACTAGTCTTCTTTCATTCAGTATAAGTTAATATCTTACTACATGTACTTAGCTTGGTAGATCAGTGACCCGGGATCAGTAAATGTTATTTAGTGAAGGTGTTAAGTGTTGTAATTTGTACTCATATTTTTTGAAAACAACAAAAATGAGTGTGTTCTCTGCATCCTCAATCATTTTTTTCAAAATGGCATATGTTTATATTACATTTTAACCTTTAGCGTGCTGCCGGCGGACTCGTCCGCCGAGACTAAAATGTCTCTCACAACTGCCGGCGGACCCGTACGCCCGATTTCAAACTTTTAAAAACTTTACTTTTTCGCGCCATTCGTATTGTCCAATTAGATTGCCCGATTTATTCAGTGCCTAATATGACTTCCTGTTGACCTAGAAATGACGATATTTCGAAAAATAATTCTCAATTCATCAATTTAAACAGTGTTTTAGTCGTTTTTAGTGAACGGATCGTACAAAATGGTGGACAAATACGATCACAACGAAAATGTGGAGGAAATAGATTACGATTTCGAGCTCTTTAGGCTCTTGGAAGCCGATAACGGTCATCGAAAATAGAAACTAGAATATTTTCTGAATTGAAAAATTGAACATTCGATCGCTGCAAATTCAGATTTGGATTCTGACCAGACGAAGAGGCGGAGCGGCGGATTCCGGAGGAGTATTCATGGTATATTTATGCCCAGTCGTGTTAATGTATGAAAAAATTCATGAGAACATTTTTTTCATGAGCCAGGCCACTGTATCTTCCCTTTGTGAAAATTTTATCCAGATTCATTCAGTAGTTATTGAGATATTAATTATTTAGTCCAGGTATATCATTTTTTGCACTCTTTGAAAAATAAGCCAGTTGCGTGGGATATATTTGCTGAAATAAGGCAGCATGGTAAAGGTTAAGATAGTATGGAATGTTCAAAATGAGGAATGATTGGAGAAAACATTTTTTGAAGGGATTTTGAGCCATTTTGTTTTAGTTGATCTCCTTACTGGAATTGTTCCAATACAATAAAGAATATCTTTATCTCAAGTGGGATTTACTTTTCTTCAAGTAGGTTTTATTTTTATAAACTAAGTTAAAGTTAAATCACTGTGGGGGTCTTCTGACCAATTGCCAGTTAAGGATGGTATGGTGTTCTATTAGTGACACAACAGTGTGGAATAACGATGTTAGTTTTGTGAGGGGGGAAGACAGATCAACATTTCAAGGTTTTGTTACATGATGGGAGTTGGTCAAACCATTACAAAATTAACATTGTTTTACCACGACTAAGTTTATTCTATATGACATTGGATGACATCCAACCACCAGATGAGAAAACAATGTTAAATAGTTGTTTAAATTGTTTTCCATTAGTATTACATGTTTGAGTATTTTAGATATAATGTGAATTATGAACATATTTTCGGTGAAGCGAACGATTGATTAAGTGTAAAGAGTAGACTTTTTTGTTTTGTTTTTTATTTATTTCTTATTTCCTTCATAAACAATCAATAAATCAGAATACAAATTTACAGTGGACACCATAAAAAGGTGTATATACTGTGACCCATGTTAATTCCAGTAGATTGGTTTTACTGCTGAGATTTGAATGCCTTCATTGATGTTGTATTTAGCGATTTCCTTTAGTTTTGAAGTTTAGTTTTAGTTTTCATCCTTCTCACAATTCCCCAATCACCATAATCTAGATGTTTGCTAATATGTCCTAACTATACATAGAATGTCTTTCCCTTTGCATTTTTGATGTGTTTAGATATGTACACTATGTTTTTCAAAATTTGAGGTTACCTCACATAAGTTATCTCAAAGTTTAATTGAGAAGAAATGTACTCAAACAGTGGCATATTAGAATGTTGTAAGACCTGTTTGTGAGAACAGCTCATTGAGATAAATGGCCTTAAAGGTCCTGTGTAAGCAGTACATAAGTCTGGTAAATCAGAATAAGAACAGTTCTCTAAAATAAATACCTTAAAATATGAAACTGTTTTCATTAAAATTTTTGATTTTCAAGATATCTGAACATTAAACGACACCTTTCAGAAGGTGACAACTTTGACAAATTCAGCCACTTGGCATGCCTGTCTAAGACAAGCCGACATGCCTGTATAATAAATATATGTACACTGACATTCAAAGCCATTTACTACAATGCTATTCCCTGCATGATGATGATATTTAGTGATATTTGAACACATCATTGCATCAATGAGAAAAGCTATTCTGGTATATTGTTACCTCACATGAGTGAGCTATTTCCATGTGAGCTATTTGCTTAACTTCAGTATAACGAAACCATCAGCAGTAGGCCCCAGTTTATGACATTTATTGTAGATCATAATTTGTGAAATTGAAGTCCCTTTCAAAGTTGTAATATTATTATGGGATACTAGCTGAGTTTCAAGGATTGTGGCCCATAGTATGGTTTGTACAGTTTGAATAGATGTTTGGTTTCTGCATAATCTCATCACCCCTCGCTGGTTGGAACATAATGGCAACTTTATGCTAGGTGAGTCGTCCCTTCACAATCACTAGCCAATCACATTTTTGAATTATAGCACGACACAGATGATGGCAGGTCTTCGTGTCTCAAATAATGAAGATGTAAACAATGAAGATAGGTATAATATGAAACACCCACGACGTGGTATGGCAGTTATTATAAACAACAGATCCTTCCAGTCTAGCACTGGGATGAATGAACGCAATGGCACAGACGTTGATGCCTCTAATATATTTCAAAGATTGAATGATCTTGGATTTGAGGTGATTATTAAGACCAATCAAACCACACGACAAATGGTAGACCTCATGTCGAAAGGTAAGAATTATGATAACTTCAAATAATGATATAATATGTGTACTGATGGATAATCTTTATTTGGGGATGAAACTTGAAATGTTTTTGGATATTCGAGTTATACTATCCCAGATGATTTCTTATTGTGTTATGTTGTGTTACACATTTCAAATTTGCACGCTTTGTTATTCCAATACAGTTTGGATTCAGTTACTCTTTTATTCTTTAATACACAACCCCTAGGCATAAAAAATATATAAACTCATTTGTTCCTGCTTTTATTATAGTAATTTGTTTTTTACTTTTTTCAACCATTCCCTATCTTCTTTTACACATATACTGAATATTTCACATATCACATTTCACATATCTGTCTTTTTGGGTAATCGTACTTAGAATACTATGGTTTTTAAGAAAGTGTAGAAAATGCTAGTTATCATTAGGAATTTAGTATCCATGTGGTGATAGCACAGCTTATTTTGCTCTCACTATTAAAATAATTATCAACCTTTTCATCTATAAGAATATGCAAGTGTTTGATAGATATATAAACATATTTTTCATTTTGTTTTAGTTCATTGTTACATTGTACATAGATTACATGACAAAATAATTTGCCTAATGCCAATTGCATTATTAATAAGCTGGCATTTTATGTTGTATTAAAAAAGCTATTTTGTGTATAATTAGATTAATACTATGCATTAAAGACAGTAGAATGGGTAAAAATTGTGAGAAAGTTTTGAAAAACTATGACAATTTTACAATGTGTTTTGCTCTCGTAATTTTATGTCATGCCTGTTTTCTATAAAGTCCAGATAGTTTCGACTTTTTTCTGAATTATCCTATTTGTGAAAAAAATTCAGAAGGAAAATTATCCTTTTTTAATTTTAATGAATTTGAACAATTCTGCATCTTAAGTATTCAAGATTGTTTAATCAGATTTCAGAAAATCAAGTTTGATTGTAAGAGAAACACTGGCATAATTTTTCAAAAGATTGCTTCAAACACTAATAAAAGGAATGCTAATTAGTTCAATCAATGTCTGTGTTATAGCTGGCAAAATGAACCATTCAGATGCTGACTGTTTTGCTTGCGTAATTCTGAGTCACGGAGAAGAAGGAGTCGTCTATGGGACAGATGGTGTTGTCCCCATTGAGAAACTTACAGAGCCTTTCAAGGGCAACAAGTGTGAATCCCTCAGAGGCAAACCTAAGATGTTTTTCATACAGGTAGGTCATTGAATTACTTTGATGCCAACATTAATACTTTGACACGATTACAATGCCAGGTTAATCATTATAGTTCCATTAGGTAACATGACAGAGTGAATGGAGGGATTTGAACTAAAGTACATGTAACTCATAAATAGGTTTTGTGCACCACTTTTGCTTAAAACCTATTCATGGAATAGTTAAATAATTTGACATGTGTACAAGATCTATTAATAAATAAATCCTAAGCTTGATCAACTAAACTGAAATTAAAGTACCATGATCAGATTGCTTGGCTAGTAAATTTTTTAGATAGGAATAAAATGTAAAGATCGAAAGACAAAGAGTAATAAATTTCTAAATTTCATCTTTGAAAAAGATTCTGTTTGAATATAATCATGGGCTTTCAAGAGAACCTAAATACGCATAGTGATGTTATAGTAAATAATGGATGTGACCATTTCTTTATTGTTTGTAGGCATGTCGAGGCCAGAAGTTTGATGAAGGTGTAGAAACAACTGATGATGATGGGGAGGGCCTAGATGAAACAGATGCTAACACTGTGCATAGGATTCCTGCTGAGGCTGACTTCTTAATGGCGTACTCAGTAGTTCCAGGTCAGTATATGGAATTAAATGTATGTTCAATTGAACATGTATTCTATTTGATAGATAAAATTATTGATGAGTATGCACTTTCGTTTGATATTGCACAGTTTACTTGTTTTGAAATGATATTTTTCAAAACTTATTAATTTGAAAAAATCTTGAAAATGTTATTTTTCGATGCTTATTTATTGTTTTGTGTGACAGTGCATGCTATCTCTTGGATTTTTCTCAGCGTGATACAGATCTTTCATTTTATTTATTTTGACCATTTTGAAATGATCATTTCAGTGAAAATCCTGTATTTCTTCATTTTCCTTAATGTGATTTTCCCCTTCATAAGTATACATGAACTAACCAGAACAACGGCAACGCCAAAGCGTAGCTAATCCCATCGAACAGCCATGGATGGCATTTTTAGAAACAAAGTATATAGCAAAAATGGCAGCCATTTTTCAAAATGGACGCCTTCTACCAAAAGTGTCATTAGACCATGTGCCATGCTTATAGTATTCATATATACCGAATATGAACAAAATCGCTCCACTACTTTTCGAGTTATAGTAAAATACGTTAAAATGGCGGCCATTTTGAAAAATGGCCGCCTTCTACCAAAAGTGTCATTAGACAGTGTGCCATGCTTATAGTATTCACATACCAAATATGAACAAAATCGCTTCACTACTTTTCGAGTTATAGTAAAATACGTTAAAATGGCGGCCATTTTTCAAATTTTTTTTCAAAATGGCCGCCTTCTACCAAAAGTGTCATAGGACAGTGTGTCATGCTTATAGTATTCACATACCAAATATGAACAAAATCGCTCCACTACTTTTCGAGTTATAGTAAAATACGTTAAAATGGTGGCCATTTTTCAAAATGGCGGCCATTTTTCAAAATGGCCGCCTTCTACTAAAAGTGTCTTTAGACAGTGTGCAATGTTTATAGTATTCACATACCAAATATGAAAAAATCGCTCCACTACTTTTCGAGTTACAGCAAAAATCATAAAATAACGAGTAAAGGCCGCCATTTTTCAAGATGGCTGCCATGTGCTTCTTTAATATCTACATTTCTAGCTTTATTAATGTCCTATATACTTTTTTTACAGCTTAAACATATTGCTATTACAGTTTTACATATTGCACCTAAATTACTGTAAATTCGGCACTAAAATGGCCGCCATTTTGAAATGAGGGGCCATTTTGAAAATCGGCTTTCGAGCAGAACTTCTATCCCCATAGGGTATATGTGTACAAAATATGAACAAAATCGGGCCAACGGTATTTGAGTTATTGCCCGGACGGACGGACGGATGAACGGACGGACGGAGGCGTTCCCTATATCCCTCCTAACTTCGTTCGATGGGATAATAATATAATTTTAATTCAGTATGTTATATTTTTTGTTGCAGGTTATTTCTCATGGAGGAACTCAACCAGGGGGTCGTGGTTCATCCAGGCTCTATGTTCTGTTCTAGAAAAATATGGCGAAAATCCAGATTATGACATCCTCCGAATCATGACCAGGGTCAACAGGATGGTGGCTTACGATTTCGAATCCAGGGCAGCTCGTGAATTCATGAATCGCAAAAAACAAATCCCGTCAATAGTTTCTATGCTTACTAAAGAGATGTATTTCACCCCAAGGACTGGTTGATTGCCTTTAATCATTAATAATTGTGTATATTGACTAAAACAATCAAGATCTTAAACAGGAGCAGGGTTTTATCGACCTGGTATGTGATATTCTAAGATGCTAGGTCTCACTTCAAATTAACAACTAGGAAACAACGATAATAAATGGATGAACTGTTCCTGGTTCAAAATTTGTAATGTCAAGCAATCATGACAGTGATCTCCCCAGTATAAGTGCAACTTTGTGCCACACCCTGCTGATTTCAAAATTACACGTTATCTGTCAAGGGTTTCTTTGCACCATTTTAAAATGATAGAATATTCACATATTTGACCAAAATAGGCAAGATCAGGATTTAGAATCCAGTTCCCAGAACCCCGAAAACTTATGGAGATAATTTCATGCTAAATCCAATTGTTGTTTACATGTAAACAAGGTCCCAACTGTGATTGTTTTGTAAATAATTTCTATTTGAAATATTTTTGTAAAGCTGTGTATATTTAATGCTGCAATCTTTTAAAAGTGAAAAAAAAGAAAATAAACTGTATATCATCACAGGTTCTATCAAGACCCCATTCTACTGCGAGATTCCTTGGGGTGTTATCAACTCATCCGAGATGAATAAGTACTAGGAGCTTGCACGTCTCGAACTCAAGAACTCATTACAGTGACAGTGCTTTGAGCGTTACTAACATATTATTGTATATGTGTAGCCCCTCACATTAGCTTCTGCAAGCAAATAATATGATGGGTTCTGGATGGTGCCTATTGTATATGCTACATAGATATCCTTGCTATAGAAAACAGGGTTTTTAGAGAGCTTGAGAGGATCAGATCACTTATATTTCTAGGACAATCAGACATTGTTAATTATAAAAATACAGCTTTTTGAAGTGCAATGATCACATAAACAGTCTAGCCTATTTGAGGAATCTTTATTTTTTGTGATCTATCTAATAGTCATATCCATAAATCATATTTTGACATACTAGTATTTCTTGATGTTCATCTTGACTCATTTCAACTTAAATGCACCTTGTATGTGATTTAATACATCACAGAATATGAAATATTCAAGCTCAGGTATTTACTGAATATTGACAGTAACTGAGATTGTAAATACATATATGTAATTTGATATTTGACCGGCTGCTTGATCTACATAAAGTTGCTATCTACTTAAGTTTTTGTTAATTATATTTTATATTTGATTATATCATGTCTCAAAATGAAATCCTGACACCTGATTGGTTGATCATATTCACATTAGAAATAGTTGTAACAGTTGAATAAAATAATTAATTGAATTAGGAAACCAATGAAAATATTGGAAAGTTGAATATTTGATATTTATCTTTGCTCAAAAAATAGTAACTGAGACCACTAGACCACTATTTTGATGAATTTTGTTTCAAGCAATTGTCAGTGTAATATTGTTTCAATTAAAGATGCATTTTCTTAATATTGTATATAAAGTTGCAGACTTTTAGTTTAATGTTGTTATATAGTGCTTCTTTTAGTTGCTTACATTGCAGCTAGCTGCTCAAAATATAATGTAAAATCTGTTTATATGGAATGCCTCATGCAGGCTGAAATTGTACTTTGTAGAAGGATAATCCTTATAGATATGCTACTCAGTTAATGGTACTTTTGAAAACTGTATGTAGAGAGGTATAGCTTATTGAGAAAGTGTTCCATCGAACAGGTTTTACTGTACTTCATTGTGTGAAATTCTGCAGATTACCAGTACTAGCAGCAATTATTTTAACAGTCTGATACAAAGCAATGTAAATTGTTACCTAGTATGTGAATAAAAAAATGATGTGAAATGTAGCCAGTTGTCATTTAATGTCTTTCTTGTTAAGAGAATATAAAGGAAGGAACTTGAAATTTGAGTAAAAACAATTGAAATTCCAATGTAGCAAACAAGTATGAAATGTATGATATACATCCATTACTTATTGATCACCCATCATATTATATTTGTGATGTAATACTCAGAAATACTTGATTTTAGAGACATAGTGTCTTTTGCTATAAATGAGTGAATTTTTCATTTCGGCTCTCATCTTAATATTGCCTGTAAAAATTCACCTGGGGGTCATTAACAGAAACTTCGTAAAGCTATGTTGTCCCTTGGTCTTCTGGTCTTGGATTGTGATATTGGTTCTTGAATGGTGGGGGGAAAGGGAGACCTTGTTTCTTTTCAAGTTAGATCATGGTTTTGGGCTATATGGGTTTTGTTTTTCTTGACTGGTATGCACTTAGAGTTTGCTTTTTCTTGCTAAGTTCCATTTTAATTTTTGGTCCTTTCCCTTTGGCACTAGTGCTTATATATTGTTGTAACCATGGATATGATGACGTTACAGTTAGAAAACAATGGATTTTATAAATTTTTAACTTCACAAAGTTTCTGTTAATGGCCCCCTGGTAAACATAGTGTACACACTGACTGCATATTTCATTTTCATATGTCCCAAGTTGTAAATATGTTCACCAATATCGACAGCATTTCATCTCAAAATAAGTAACTGAACTGCCGATAAACAACAATATACAGTGTGGTTATGAGGTCATTTTTTGACTTTATTTAAACCAATACATATGAACATTGCAATAGTCACCTATTAACATTCATATTTAAATGTTCTTTGAGTTGTGGTCAATAGTTGTACATTTCATGAAAATGCATCATTTAAATTTTTAATTTGATAAGTACTAAATATCCTGACAGTAACTTGTAATTGCTTTACCCAAAACATAAAAATGAATAAATTATAACAGCACAAATATTAAAATTGTGGTATTTCTCTTCGGGTAAAACGTCAAATAAATAATAACAACAATGTAATGTTTTTTTTTGCGTCACGATTGTAACAAACAGACCCTTCTTAAGTTTCATGCAATTTACCTAACCTGACATCTATTATACAGAAAGTCAGGCTTTTGCATTCCTATATACAAATGTATAGTGGACTCCTTATTTTTTTGTAATTTATACTTTTTTTGTCAGCATAGGATGCTTATAATATATATAGAATATAAAGGTAGACATACATTATATGAAAACAAAAGTCAACAGTACATAAGTCTCATGCTAAGAGAATTTAACAAAACTACAGTAAAACAAAGATTCACTTATAAGTACTAAGATTAATTCAATTCTGTGTTCTATGTTCACTTTTGTTTTTGTTTTTGTAGAATGAGGGAACAATGAATTCTACTTCTATCCAAGACATTTTATTTGTTATAATGTTTAAAACAGTTTCAGTGAGATATGATACTCATCTTACTTTACCGAAATGAGTTTATTTCTATTAAAAATGTGCTATGTCATTTTAAAAGTTCGTATATTCTCTATTTTAAGTCATATCTTTTTAAATTAACTTTCATGATCAATATAAAACATTCTGAAGGGTGAAAATAAGCATTTTACAATCTAAACTACCTGAAAAGGTTCTCTTCCACAAAATTACATTATTTAATTCAAAATTATTTTTACAAATTACTTAGTTAAAAACAAATTCTAAAATAAAATCACCTCAATTTGGTCTTTTGAGATTTCTGTTTTCAGTACAGTTATACAAATATTCCTGCTCTATTGGAAATGCCTAACTACTGAAACAACCGTTAAGAAAATTCAAATGTTCAATTTTAACTGAAAATAGAATACATACATGAAATTTGATGTTTTTACAGTAGAGTTAAGAGATCTAATGTCTACAGACAACTGAACTACATATACGACTACACAAGTTGTACAAGGGCCATTCAATAACTTCACACCATACTATATACACCTTTGTTTTTACAGCACTTGCATATGTTTATCTCAAAATATTCCCTGATGATGTCTGCATCACTGCTTGGAAGTTAATGGAAGTTGGAATATTGATGGTATATGACCAGTTTAAGAATGTGAACTTATTGAACGCCCCTCATTAAAGGTGCTCCAAATCTTCCCAAATACAGAACATTGTCCTTATCCTGCATATCTGCGTATTATCTTTTAAATTATCAACTCCAAATCCTCATCATTTCCAATATTTACAAGCCATTCCTACAGTTCCAGATAATTGTTTTATATATATATAGAGGTATTCCAGAGTCCGACTTGTTTTTTTGTTTTTCTCAATTATTTTTGTACCTCTCCCTTTGATAAGTTTCGATTTATTATCAGTTCCATAAACGCTCCTTCAAGAAACCCCATTCTAGCACACCACAACTGTGTTCATACAGTCCAAACAGTATATGTAATACATGGTTATAATGTTAAAATAAGCTATACACAGATGGGGTCACATGCCCCCCGTCGCGAGGCCATTCACTATCCTCTGCCAGAGATCTTTTTTACACGACTTTGAGCGTCGCAAATTTGTTAGAAGTTCGTTAAACTGGACCATGCCTCCCGGGGTCATGCAGAAGGCATTTCTAGCGCTACATATGATCGTTACAAACTCGTCGTATTCTGCCTGGCTGATGTGATGCAACCTCTGGTGGGCGCATTGAATAAACCTGAAAATACAACAAAGTTCATTCAAAGCAACTGGTTACAATTTCTTACTGGTTCACTTGCTTCAGTTAAACTCCATGAAAATGATAGATACAACGTGTGATGTTTAAAAGTATGTAGAAAAGACAAACAAATCATATGAGTTTTGAATTTAAAATCAACCAGATCTCTGCAAGAAACCAACAAGGCATTAACAAAATGTCACCACCTAACATTTGTTACAAATGGCCAATGCCACTCGCCGAACACCATCCGCGAATAAGTTTGAGACTATAACAATATGTCACCACACCACATGTGGTGGTGACATGAAAAAGTTGGAGACTATAACAATACATAAAAAAAAGTTGATTGTGAAAAAAGTTATTTGTGAGTTGCCTCCTGATCCTATCATTCCTTATCATGTCAACTTCAATACAACTTGTTTTTATTGTGACATATTTTGTGCTTTTTGGTAATACAGTTCAGAAGGAAAAACTCCTTGGCCATCTACAAACAATTTATGCAATTTTTAAGAAACATGGTTGAACTTGTTTGATTGATATTTCAAGTCTCCATGAGGGTAACGATAATCTTTATTTCATGTTTATTGTGGGAAAAGCTGAGAGACCCTCTATCAGTTATAGAGCATCTACTTACATTTGCAGGCATTTCTGTACGAGCGTGTTGAGCAATGGAGATCGTAACTGTTGAGTGACCTGGGCAGGGTTGTTGCGTGCCAGGTAGTGAGCTATCTCTATGGCAATGTCCTGAATGACAAATGGACTCATCACTGAGTTTGTGATACTGCCACAGAACTGCTGTAGGCACGATATACCTGGAAGAAGTATGTTATATCATATTACATTGGAAATATGATTTAAGCTACACATATGTACAAGATGGAGAGGAAGTTATATAGGATCAAGCCCTCTATCCAATCCAATTACTACATATGTATTTGCAAAAAAGAGATATATCACCATTCTGAGTTTGAAGGAACAACTTAATTGGTTCAGAATTTCTTGGTTCCTTAAAGTTTCGCAAGAAAACCAAAATCAAAGATTTTCAGGGTTCTTTGCTCTATTTTTCCAACCATTATTTCTTACATCTTATCTTCAAATACTGCTTCCAATTGACATGCTAAATTATATGTTTGACAAAAGTTTTCCTACCTAATTTCATTCCTATACTGAGCAGCCACTTGACATCTTCCCCATATGGTGGGTTCCTCGCAAACTTAGTCTGGGGTCTGTCATCGTGGACTCTGCGCGCCAGGGTTTCCAGGGCCAACATGCCCACCCTATAGGCCGCCATGAGGTAGTTCATCTGGGTGCTATTATGGGGGTGAGGTTGCTCAGGCACTTGTGACATCACCATTGCCTGGCCCCCAGCCAAAGTCGCTGCGTCCATCGCTGGGGCAATGTTCACAACTTGCCCATTCTGCGGGATGGATGAAACCTGGCCATTATGATTGGTGAAGAGCTGTACCTGGGGGTTGGCTCCCCTGAGGTGTGCTACATTCGGATGGTAGAGTGTTGTGTTGGGATGGACGTTTTGTACATGGGCTATATTGTTAAACTGAGTCTGGTTCGGGTATGGATGTGTGGTTACATAGGCGGGATGCATGTTATGTGTGTTAAGAGGTATGTGAGGCTGTGTGTACTGATGACCGAATGTGGGAATCTGTTGGACGTAACTATAGGGGGTGATGTATGCAGGGTGGTGCGCCACCTGTTGCTGAGGTTGTACCCCCTGCTGGGGCTGGATGGAGTAGGACACAGTGGCAGCTACACTGCCCACCTGATGCTGTTGGGTAGCTGGAGGTACCTGCTGTATGGCCACTACTGGGATCATAGGTGGACTGGTACGTTCAGGTCCAGGTTGCATAACAGGGACTTGTGCCACCTGGGGAGGGACCTGCTGGTTGGCCTGGGGTTGTACAGCCATTAGAACTGGACTTGCAGCTGCTGCAGCTGCTACAGGCGCAGGCTCAGCTGATGCTGTACCTACAGACTCCTCATAGAGTTCATACCACCGTCTCGCAACATCAAACAAGACTTCTGGGTAAACACCCCCTCCTTTAGCTGCACTCTCAACAGCCAGACAAGCTTGTTCCAGCTTTTCCCTGGATTGCTCTCGGCACTGAATAAGCGCACGCTGGATCTCATTGGGATTAAGAGCATGTGCATGAGGGAGACATGACAGAGCTAGATCTGCTGCTGCACGAACCATATTGGGATCCCGACCTCTTGATGCCCTGTCTGCCATTGCAGCAGCCTCTGGTGGGGTCAGATGACCTTCCCAGGTTTCTATTAGGATCTTGATAGCTGGGGCACCTACCTCCATTGCTTGACCTGCAACCAAAAACATTTCCATAAATAAGAGTTGCAATGATTTATATAAACATATTTAAGGCCGCTCTGGAATTCATCTCAATGAATTAATTGTTGAATGCAAATTTTATTGCCTTAATGACAATTAGGGTTGCATTACGTTTGTCATTTTATTTTACCAATATTTTCCAATAGAAGTATGAGACCTGTTTTTATTCTATATTACTTATTTTTCACTAAAACCATCACACGAAAGTACATGTATCATCTGTATACTCATTTTAACGTGCAACTATAGCTCACCAGTGATCCAGGATACATGAGAAGAGTAGGTCCTTGAGAGCCAGTTAGGGGAGACACAGTTGTGCAGTCCTAAGGCATAGAGTCCTATCTGAAAGGCACACAGATGCAGCTGTCTATGAGGACCACTGTGGTTGTTATTAGTAGTCGCTTGGGTGAATAATGACGTTGCACTGTTACCCCCTGCTTTCCCAAGCACAGTCTTAGCTAGCTCAAACATAAAGTGTGCAGAGGCCTCACTAGGTTGATTGGGTATGGTCGGCATAGCTCGGTTCTTCCCTTTGTATCTACCTAGCTTCATATTTGGAGTCGAGCTACGGGAATCTATGGGGTAGCGGAGACCCTGGTAAGGTCCAGGAGGGCTCTCGTTGTCTCGACATATCGCAGCAGCCTTGGCACGCTTGTTATCTGAGCTACTAGAGCCAATGGAATCACTACTTTTGCCACTGCTACCACTGTCACTCCCTGGACCCTGCAATCATAAATCAATACAATATTATAGCTTTCAAGGGTAATTTCATACAAAATCAATACAATATTATAGCTTTCAAGGGTAATTTCACACAAAATCAACTGTTGGAATCTTAAATAAAAACATATTTACTTTCAATCGCTAAAAATCACCAATAACATTAAACATTTCAAAAACTTGCATCAAATATGACAAGTTTAATAGAATTGTACAATAATAAGTATAGGCTTGGGAAAGACTCACTATCTTCTTCAAAATGTCGTGAAAGGTATCAAAATGAATTGAAAGAGTAAAAATCAGAATAATAGAGACCATTCTCTTAATAGATGTATCAATATTTTACCTGGTGTTTTGCCCAGTTGCGCCTGACGAGCGTAGGTGAGTTATCACTTGAGGTAGTCTCAGGTGCGCTACTGTCTATACTAGCCATCCCTACTGAATGTTTTTTGAATGTCTTCAGGTTTGTACATCTGAACTTCTCCTCCCAGGCCTTGTACTCTGAACCATCACATTCCTCCTCTACAGCTGAGCTGTCAGTATCTTTGCTGCAAACATAACACAAAACATGTACTGACAAGGCATTAACATGACAAATGTCACCACTTGCAAATGGTTACTAAAGTGTTATTATTGGTACAGACACCAACTGCTGATGTTGATTGCTGGTTGTAATATAAAATGGTGGCAATATAGAAATGATTTCAAACTTACTAAAATGTCCCTTTTCAAAATGGTCTTAAAATGTTTTCAAGTGTTAGTCAATATCATTCAGTGTGGTCAAAAGTTACATCAATATTTTCAATTTGACAGATAATAACTATACATGAATGTGATAATAACACTTAAAAACTGTAATGGTTCAAGTTAAAAAGGATGTTGGTTCATGAAAGTATTGTTTGATTACTCATCATTTGATGTAATTGTGTTTCATAAATAAATAAATATAACTTACTTTGTCTGGTATTTGTTTACAAGAGAAGTTTTAGGACGTGCACTGGCAGATCCTGCTGCTAAATTATTCAAATGCATCGTCATAAACTTCTGCTCTAAATTCAAATAGTCCAAGTTATCCCTGCCCCTCTCTTGCCAGTTATCTGCTTGGGAGGAAGTAGATGGCACTGCGGCTGCTCCATTCTCTGCCCCACAGGCATTATGGGATGGAACAGCTTGGGTCGCTGCTACATTATTTTGTCTTACTCCCTCTGCACCAGTACTTGCTGTTTTATCAGTGTGTTTTACCTGGGATGCAGCCCCAGTTTTCCCTGAGGGAAGATACGAGTTCAAAGTAGGCCCTTTATACAACTGATGAACATCCTTATCTAATAATTTCTCCATTATTTTCTGTAGTTTTATCTGGTCATCTTTATAGTGAACTAACATGGCAATAGCGAGATCTCCTCGCTGCCTTCTAGTACCCTCACATAGGAGAGGATGTTCAGCCTCAGAGACATTAGCCTTGAGGCCCAGGGCAGCCACAGCTGCATGGAAGCCAAGGTCATCTAGATGTTGTCTGCCCACACTACGGCTAGGGGGCCTATTGGCAGTCCCATAGACTGGTTGCGCTGGAAGGAAGTAATTTCAGCATTATTTGTGATACATGTGTAACTGATATATCAATGCAATATGTCACTTTTAATCTGTAGCACACTAACTATAGTATTCCATTTTTTAGAAGTCTTATATGAAGCCCATGTACACAGCAAAGATTAACATACGCATCTACAAAGAGTACAGAAAGAAATTGGAGAAGAGATTTTTACTGCTCGACTTTTATTTAGGGAAATATTTTGCATTTGAATTATGTTAATATATTAGTTACCTGGCTGACAAAGTGAGTCAAATACAAAGCTGGCCAATACCAATGGCAGAAGTGCTTCACCTCGGGACCGCAATTTACCATCCCGTAGTTGTTCAGCCCTGTCCCTGAGAACATTCAGTTCACTAGGTCCCAGGGGAATCTTCTTCAAGAGGATAACTAACTCCTGTTCTTGGTTAGCAAGTTTTACCTAAAAATCAAAATAAATATTTCTTGGAGACAATCAAAATAATGTTGAAACTTTGAAGTTAAGATTTTTTAAGTTATTTTGTAGGGGCAAGGAAAGTGTTCCAGGTAAACAAACTGCCTCGTTCAATTTTTAATCTCATGGCCTCAATTTGCCTAACTTTTCAAAGACTCTGCCTATGGCACTCGTAGTGAATTTATCTTTTTTTGTACATTCTTTTTTTGTTGAAGGTTGGAACTTGTAATTTGTCAAATTGTTTAAGTTTGTTAATTGCATTTTCATATATTTCCAACACCTTTCCAGAATAAGGAAGTACTTCAGCTACTCACCTCAAGGCCCTTACTGCTGGCAGGTGGGCGCGGCATCTCCAGACCAAACATGCCAACCTTGAATGCAAGATGGTGGCACTCAGTGTCCTCTGATAGCACACTGCACAAGAAACTGGACTTGGAGAGAGTGGAGATTGCCTGAGAGCTGACTGTATGTTGAGCTTTCTTCTTTTTACCTAAATACATGAAACACAGTTTTGAAATAAGGAACAATTGTGTCATTTATTCAACATATTTTGAATTGATGTTAATCTATCCATTACATGGGTGCAATAATAAAAGATAACAAGGCATTAACATGCAAAATCAGAACTCCGAACACCGTCACAAAAAGATTGGGGACTATAACAATATGTCACCACTTGTGGAATATACCCATTGTACACTCTAATTGTTCCAAATAAATACTTATCCTTGTTATAATAAAGAAAAATGGTTTCATATTTTATTTGAAAACTATATTTATGCGGATAGCTTCATCAATACAAAAACTGGTCTTCCTAGAGCATCAGCAATAATTTACAATTAACAATATATCCAAAATCCATATATATGTAGTTAAAGAGAGAATCTAGCGAGCAGGCAAACAAAAAATTGTTTCAATTTTAGAATATTTCTGGCTCATGTCATTCCTTGTAATGCCTATTTTCTAAAAATCCCCAAAGTGCTTAATTTATTTCAGGAAAACTTAAGATTTTTAAAATAATGTATTATTTTTCTATAAGAATTATTATTTGGGAGAATTTAAACATTTTGCACCCATTTTTGCACTTTGAATCCATGATAACTTCATCAATTGATAACATATTGTGATTCTTTTGGGAGATATTGTATTTGAGATTGTAAGGAATAGATTGGTGGGTCAATTTTACATGTTGCTTGCAATTTTGTCACCCCTATAGATCTGATTCTGCCTTTAATGCTGTTCTTGTACAAATGCAGAATGTACATATTGTGAAAGATACCCTACCCTTACTAGCTGTATTGTTGAGAGGTTCATTTGAGAGATCTGGTGGATTGGACAACATCTCCTCAGCCAACTGTTTAGCAAGCTTACAAGCCTCCTTGGTGTGACCATGGGCATGTAGTGCCTCAGCACGAGCAAACAGAATCTAAAAATTAATCCACAAGCATACATATATTATATGCCTCAGCATGTGTTAAATTCTTTACAGGGTTATTCACAAGTGTACATTCAATATATGCCATGAGTCTTTGGATGATTTCATGAAATAATATGTTATAAAAAGTATCCTCTATCTAAGGAAATATTTGTATATAGAATTGATGTAGTAAAATCTTTTGACAAATACATTTGTAAACCATTCATATCCTCCCATTATTTGAATATGTTTAATACAAGTAGACTTACATCTTGTTTGAGTTCAATTTTCTTCAGCCCAGCCAAGTAGTTAGGCTCATCCTTCTTTTTCTTCTCTGCAGCCAGGTCTCCTAACTTTGCCTTAGTGTCATAGAAGTACACTTGGTATTCATCACTAGAGTTGGTTGATTCCTGCCATTTCTCTGCCTTGAGGGCCGATATAGCCTTGTTGTATCCCATAGCAGCCCCTGGCACCGAGCTGTCAGAGTCTGCCTCCTCCCCAGCCTTGGCACATGCCCCACTAGGCTCCTGGTCAGAGATAGACACCCCTACAGGGATAGTACGATCTTTAAGTTTCAATTTAGATACAGTCTCAGATGCAGATTGTTTGGAGGCTTTACTCCGACTGAGTCCATCTTCCTCTGTAAAACTAGAATCAGAGTCCCGAGAAAATGCAGCCTCTGGGCGTTCATTTTCACAAAAACCCTCTGAGCTAGAGCTACAACCCCCATCATTCTGGGGGTCTATGACAACCACCTGGGGGTGGGGGACAGTCTTTTGTTTATGTACACTTCCTGATAGATTCCGATGTTTGTCCATGTTTTGAAAGGCTGTGCTAAGGGTCCCTACTTTGTGGTGATCTGCTACAAGTTTTTTCTTATACTTATCAACATAGGTCACTCCAGTGATTGGGTAATCACCCCAATCTAGATAACAAGCCTCTATTGAGGGCTTGAAGCCGACAAACACCTCGATGTCCTGCTTTTTAATAGGCTGACCTGCTTGGTTGCCTACATGAGAGTTACGGAAATTACGAACTTTGTCTATTGTTTTAATATGCCAGTCTTTGAGCTGGGTGACAAGGTCATCTCGCTGTATTGGTGAAAGGGCTGGGTTGAGGGCAGCTAGACGCCAAAGGGCAACCACCTCATCACACAGGCTCATAGCAGCATGCTGGGAAGCTGCCTGGACACTGTTGTTGCCACGGTTACTCATTCCCTGGTTGTTGTGAGATGTAGTTACTTTTGTAGTGAACCACCAACTCAGAATCTGAAGTCACAAAAAATCAGTCATATTAATTGTATTTTCACTGGCAATGAAACCTTCATTAAATTGTGGACAATTCTAAGTCAAGAAACAACTGTAATAAATATGTTATCATCATGTCTTGAAGCCAAATACATCTTTGAGTATTCATCATACGAATGATTGTGCTTGTAGCAGCACACTATGTTATTGTACAGACAATTGCTGCCACTTACTGCCAATTACTAGAGTGCTGCCAATTTGATAAGATGCAATTGATCGGAACTGTCAATTGCCCTTTCCAGATTAAATATATAATTCATCATCTCCAAAATGGAAGGAACTACTCTTCCTTGATCAGGCTTACATTTGAGTTAATTTGATTTACAGGACATATACCCAAGGATATTCCTCACCCTTATAGATGGTGAACAAAATTTTATACAATCACATTACTTACAGTATCATAACACATGATTTCCTCTGTCAGGATCTCCAGAAGAGGAACAGCGTTGCTGTCATGGCGACGGAACATTTCCCGTACAATGGAGAGAAGATTCCACATGCCCTCTGGTTCTCTCCCTCTTAGGGGCCGCAGCAGACTCTGCCACTCTGCAGCTGCAGGGGGTGCCGTGGATGACAGGAAGTTGACATCACTGGAACAGTGAGGAGGTTATAATGAAGAAGCGTTATTTTCATAATGATTTTGAAGAATTTAAATTGAGTTTGCTGTTTGATATTACTTAAAAGACTTCATAGCACACAGACAGAGATCACAGATCGGGAATTTTCAAAAGAGGTGGCGAAAAATATGTAAAGGTATTTTGCAGTTATGGCGAATTCCCTTTTTGTACGGTTTACTCACCAAACAACTTCATAAATGTTGTTGCATATTCCGCGAGTATTTTATTCCATTTTTTAAAAGGAAACAGTCATTAGAAGTGTTTAATTTTTTTCGGTCAAAATGGCTAATTCATATTTTAGTTGGCTAAAAAATTTTTGGAAGAATTAGCCACAATGGCTAACAAGTTTTTTCAACTATCGTGATCTCTGACACAGATATTGCTAATAATTGATCATAGGTACGTATAATATGCTATCATAAGTAATGATAATAATAACAAATGTCCTAATCATCTCTTATATCAATTAGTAACTTTGCAATCACAAATATGCAAATACAATCACCATTTCTGGACTATAGATGACAAACAATTGTCAAACAAATGTCCTGCCTTTATTTTTCACTACATTTCAATTGTGAATTGTTAGCATGAACATGTATTACTTAAATACATAGTTTTCACATTTAAAAAGAGAAAGTGATACTCCAGATACTTTTTAGAAGAGTGTTTTCATTGATTCTGTGCTTTTTATCACTTTATTATTTCATTAATGTGAATCTAGTACCTGTAGACCATGGCAGTAGGCTGGGAGAACTTGACAAGGGTACGTTTGATGTTCTCGTGCATGTTAGCCTCATCCAGACACCATTTTGTATGTTCACTAGCTGAAGGTCCAGCAGTGGGGTCTGAAAACATCAAGCTGATAATCAGTATCAGAATATTTTGTCAGATTTGCACTCATAGATATTATGCTAACACATTGCATCGATAAAATAATTTGATTGTTTCATATTTTTCCAGATAAGCGTTGGCCAATCATATTTTCCCACATAAACATTGCCCAATGGATAAACATTCAAATTGTTAATATAGTATGACACATCCACCATACATGATTGAGGTTATGCATACTTTTGAGGACATATAAAACTAATACCATTATGAACAAAAGCAGAAAGTCAATTCAGGCCACATTATAAATAGTGTTTAGCGTCTCTCAATCACAGGTGTCACAATTAACATTTGTCAACAAAATACAAGATACTAGAAAAATCTACTATAATGCTAATCAACATAATCAGTGATCTTTAACATAATGGCATAAACTGGTCCAAATTAACACAGGTTTTGCTCTAACTAATACATGTTTATATGTTAAATCAATAAACACATATTTCATCACATGTGTCTAGACTTCATTATTGATGATATAACATGTAAGGCATTTGATAACAACAGTAAATTAATGAAATAATTCTGACATACATATGTAAATCAGACTTATGTAACAAGTTATATTATTTAGCATATTTCATTCAGATGCTAAAAATACAAATTGAAAAAAAACATTTAGTACAAAATAAAAGTTCTTTCATATTCTAAATTTTTAAGGAACACTGGGACAATTATTCATGATGGCATTACCTGGGGCCCCACATACTGTGTTAATAGCACTCTGCTGAGACGACAGCAACTCATCAAGCAATCGTTGGGCAGTGGGTAAAATCTACAAATAAAAACTTTGATTGTGAATACATTCTTTGATTATACAGGATCTAGAGATGAATATGTTCAACCAAACAATCAATCAGAACATTGACTCTATAAATCCTGGTCTTTTTCAGTCTAATTTGTCAAATTTTATTAACAATTTATACAGCTATTCAATTAAATTAACAATGGTCAGTATTGGGACAAGGAAACTTCCATTACCTTCTCCTGATTCTGACCAGTAATTAAGGAGCGGCCATTTTAGTAAACAAAAATATTTTTGGAGTGTTCACAAATGAAGGCTGTTACCTGTTGAGGGAGTTCTGTAATGAGATACTGAGCGAACTTCTGGAGTTGATCTCTGTGTAGTCGTGAAAGAGACTCTGATACGGGGGCGCGTAGGATAACATTAGGTGCCTGAAATATAAACAAACATAATTCATATATAATTATAGTATAGCTCTGATGTACAACATTGTAAGCAATATGGACATGGGCAACAATATCTATCAATTATTAAAATCAGTGTAAATTGATAATGGGGCAGATGCTTGTCAGTGCATGCTTTACCAATAAAACCATGACAGAAACTTTAATATTCTGCTTATAATAATTTGCGAGGTCCTGGACAAAAAACGACCCCTAAATACATAATAATGATCAATTAAATGTTTTATTAAAACCATCTACCCCTACCACATCAACAAACACTTTCTTGTATCAAACTGAGCAGCGTTTCCAGTCTCGAATAACAGGGGTGATACCTCCAAATCATAATTCACAATGACTATGCTGTGATCTCTCCAAGGGGCTACATCCTAATATAATCTCTTTTGGTTAAACTATCTCAATATTTCATCCTTTTGGTGGAGTTAAAACACACTTCCAAGGGTGGTTTATGATTTTAAGATTTGATTTTCAACATGTGCAGCACTTGGTTGGTATTATGCTTGGGAGATCACTATAGTTACACATCAAGAATTGCCAAATATTGTTAATTGATCATTATCTTATTTTGACAATAAATGTACAGCAAATATAAACTTAGGGGTGAAGTCGGGTGAGAGTTAGTTTAAGATAACACAATTTCAAGAAACATAAAGTGCATCTTCTCAAATGTGGCACCAATGGTTAAAACTAAACAAAGAAATCTTTAGCAGGTGACAATAACACAAAAAATCATTCCAAATGTCAGTAGTTGACAACTTGACATATAGTTTAAATATACAATGTACTGATAATTCTTTCATTGTATTATTTTTTGAAGTTAATATAATACACATGCAATCTATACAATTATGTTCATAGGTTATTCAGTACATTAATTAGGCTAAAGTATTTCTAGCTGTGCTTTCTTAAGGATCCTAATTATGAATTCCATGAATTGACGTATGAAGGCACATGTTAATTATTGCCTCGGGGAATGAATAGGCTTGAAACGTAATGGAGGAAACTAAACATCAAACACGAAGGATATGCACGTCACAATAATGTATATTTTCATCATAAATAAAAAATATTCTCCATTTAGTGTGATATTAGGATAAAAATAATGTTTCATGACCTTTTGTTATAATATTAAGTCATACTGACATTTTTACTAAATTATAACTACGGTAACCTAAAACAAACAGATTCTATCAATTAAAAAGAAATGTAAAAGAATATGAATGATGGAACTTATACAAAATACAGAAAACTAATCTGAGCAATTCAGTTGGTGTTTATCAATTTGCCATAAGGCTTAAAATGCAGTTTTTATAATGCCAGTGAACGGGATTGAATATAGACTGAGATATTAGTGACTATGTATTCAAATGGTAATAAAGTAATAAGAAGTTTATCTTAATAAATTATGAAATACAATTTCAACTTTGCATATTTATTATATCCTGAGGCTCAACACGTTTGTTACCTTTAAGTTGACTTATTCGCACCTTTCTTAATTGATATGTCGTAACAACTTCATTTTTATTGGTCTTTGTGGAAATATAGTTTTGCATTTTTTTTATTAAAATAATGTAACCTCAATGTCAAAATGTTGTTAAACAAATTGACCACATTAATGTATGGAGAGTATCTTTATTTAATTTAACTTCAAAATTTTGATTATTTTATTTCTGTTCAAAATTTTCAAATAGACATCCTAATTATTCCAAGAATGGATTTGAGATAGTCGTGGAACAGAACAGGAAGAGAGCACAATATTGATAAACTATAATAGACAACAATCAAGTCTAAAACAGAGCATCATAAAACATATTACTGGCCATTAATGTTCAGCTCAGGCAATCTATAATGCTCTAATTATATGTCATATCATTATTTCTTTCAAAGCACGCTTATACAAACATGTGAAGTACATATTGTAGAGGTAATTTAGTGCATTTACAGGAGACCAATAAAAATTACTTGTTCACTGTTACATTAGTGAAGATAATTATTGATCACAACCTAATTGAATAATGCTATAAGTCCATTCTGATACTCATAGCATCTTTCTGTTTCACCTGAAACATCGAAGGGCTGAGAAGATTTGAGATGTCATGGTTTATCATGATGCTATAAGTCAGAGCATTCAATACAGTAGAACATAAAGATAACTCAAATCATTCAATATCAATTTCACAAATTCAAATGATAATTATGCCAAAAGTATATATAAGTTCAATCAATAATTCAAAGAGCATAAAAATAAGATGAATGTATGTAAAACAATAGCATTTGACCAGTGATTGTGCCTGTGACATATCTCCTAACAATTACAAATAAGACTACTTTCATGACATCACATGTCAATTGGCTGTCATAAAGAATAGTCTAATTTGAAATCCTTCTTTTTTATAGCAGTTCAGTACATATACATGTATATACATCTGTGTAAAAAAGCGTCCATTACTAATTGATCACCCCTCGTACATGCAATGACAGAAAATCTCAGATTAATTTTCTCAGTACTGCATCTCATTGTGACATAGCACATCTTTGATGTAAGAGCTATTAATCATTGTTTGGATAGGGAAGAGAGGTAATTAAGACCCATCATGTCAGTTTCTATAATCACTTTACAGGGAAGACCAAAGGAGGAGATTACCCAAGATGCAACTGTTCGACAAGGAAGCTGTTTACTTTTTCTAAGCAGAGAGGATTCCAAATGAAACTTAAATTCAAAGAAGATCCGTGGCATTGCATGAAACAATAATCAGTTTGATCTATGGCAACTTGTCATTCTAGAAGAGAGCATTCAAATATCAATTTTCAAATGATATGCTTTGTGTTATCTTGAAATTGGAAAATGATCTGAGTCATTTAATCCATAAAATCTCTTCTTCATGCTAAAACAATATGATATCTTCTATGTTGAGCATTTTCTGCTGACTCAGCGAATTCCAATAATGAAAAAATGTATCAAGGCATTCACTATATCCAACTTTAACCTATCAAGGTATCTAATATGAGGTAAGTAATATATTGGTATATTACAGTATGCATTATCCCTGAAGGTTGTATGTTAGGATAATGGCTATAATGAAGTATGAATTTCTGAATCCATTGCTGGCTTAACTTCCCAAATAAATTAATGCAATGCAAGGGGACACCATGCAAGGCATCCTCAGCAATCCAAAAGTCGCGTGTTAGTTGAAGTATGATACAATCCCTTCTACATACCTGGTGGATTCTGAAGAGACACAGGGCAACAACATGAGCACACCAAGATGCAGTGCTGTTACAGGTACAGCTACATGATGAGATCTTGCGTTTGTCAAACACAACCGCTACATTGAAGTTACCCTTGGGCTGGGCAACAGTCTGTGGTGGGATAACAGTAGCACTAAGATGGAAGCCTGAAATACAAATAATACACAATATACAGGGTGGACCATAAGTTCCAGGAATGAGTCTTGCATTTCATTAATATTTGGATAATATGCTTGATATTTGGCCAGAATGTGTCCAAAAATGACCTAAAAATGCGCAGAGTGAGGAAGTGTGTGGTTTTTGCAAGAAGTGGTGTCACATCAAAAAATAAAAAACGCAACATTAAAATAGTGCCCCGCATACCACGTGGTCACGTTACCATGGTAACCAGTTTAACAGCAGTTATGCATGGATCACCATGAATTTTTGCAAGATGGTCAGCAGATAGTTTGGACACATTCTGGCCAAATATCAAGCACATTATCCAAATATTAATGAAATGCCAGACTCATTCCTGGAACTTATGGACCACCCTGTATAACAGTGTCAATGAAGTCTACAATGTTCAGGATATAATAGACCAAAACCTGTATGTAGTCTTGGTCCATGCTCCTGTAATCCCCCTATACACACCTTACATTCATAGGAGGGGAAGTAGATAGGAGGATGGGATTTAGAGGCCTTATGCGAGACTGATCGGATTGCTTCATTGCATAAATCAAACATTTTATACGTAATCTAATTTATCATCACTTTGTTCCGAGGGAGGGGGCAACCAAAAAAATTAGATTACTTTTTAACATAAATCAATATACTCTGTCCTGATACATCCTCTTTAATACAGCTCTGCATGCATCAGTCTTAGGATAATTATAATCAGATCATTGGATTCAGTTTTCTACCGAGTTTAAGTCAATACTTCAAGAGCATGATGATCTAAGCTTTCATTATTAATATGATGGATTAGTATCAAGGCAGTGCTTTATAGATGAGATTGAAGAGCATTCAGTTAGAACTCATTTTAGGTTCAACTTGTCGGGTGTCCCAAGGGCACAGCCAATCGACAATAAGACTGCCATTACAGCATTTAATGAAAAATAAAAAGACAAATACCACCTCAGACCATATCCTTCATATAATAAAAACTGAACACATCGCATGAGAATTTACGAAATAGGGACTGTGGTGTTAATTGAAGATGTTAAAAAGATACAGCTGTCAAAACATTAATGTTCTTTATAAATTCAGCCAGTGTTCTAATTTCAATAATATTCATTTTCGGATTTTTCAGTTGTCAGGAGTTAAAACGATGTTGGTACTTCTCTAAAAACAAATTCTCATGAAACCCATAAAATGCGATTCCAAATTGTTTCTATATTTTCAGGACATATTACGTTACCTATTTGTAATGCATCTTTTACTGCCTTTGCCTTGAACAGGTGTTCTCCCTTCTGGAATTCATCTGCACTCCCATTGGCCAAACATGAGTATAACCTGAAAATATCAATCAAACATGAGTATGTTTAACCTGAAAATATTGGCCAAAATGAGTATAACCTGAAAAATTGGCCAAACATGAGTATAACCTGAAAAATTGGCCAAACAATTGAGTATAACCTGAAAAATTGGCCAAACATGAGGATAACCTGAAAATATTGGCCACATAAGAAAATCATAATTTGACCTTTATCACCAAAGAGAACCAGAGGATAAAATGGTAGAAATATGCCAAAAAGGATATGTTCTAACCCCCATACATCCCACATTAGGAAATACTTCTACATGCATCAGTACATGTTTAAAAGAGGATGTACAAGCCAAATAATGTCAGCTGATTCTCATAAGTCATAATAAAAAGATTTCCTAATGTCATCCCTTCTCCCTTTTACAGCAATTACATGTTCATGTACTTGTACATGTACAGCTATAACTGCAATGTGATCATTTTTAGTTTCAATAAAATATGAGATTAATATGACAAAACTGATCTAGAACTGCTTAGTCTCTGGAAGTGGGTTCATAAATGTTTCTTAGATACATGTATTTCTTTTTTTGTTTTCCAAGTGTTGCTCCTAATGTTTTCTTAATGTCATATTTCAAATTTAGCACCAGTGGAAATACCTGCCTAACCTTAATGTGGAATCTTTTTCCAGATTTGTTTCTTACATCTTTTTATTCTAACATATAAATACTGTAGCCAAGCTGAGCATTAATAGTCTTTAAGTTTCAGACAGAAAGCAACTTAAGAAGATATATACAGATCACTTGATCTTTTCGAATGACTGAGAACTGGGGAATTTGAATAAATATCCATAAAGCTAATGAAGACAAATCATTTAGTGGTTATATGTTGCCTGCATAGGATCTTTAGAGTGTAGCCTTAATGCTATTAAGAGTACTCTCTATTACTAGAACGCATGTAACATCATATATTTTATCACTACACACTCTATTTAGATCCAGGTATTTTCATAAAATGAATGAGATTTATAAGAGCATCTTGGCTCCTCAGGAATTTTTTTTATTTTTTAGGTTCATCTCCATTTGTTTCTTTGACATGCTCCAGAATCTGGATCAACTTGAGCTTTGTCTCATTTACCTTATAATCTGGATCATTTTGAGCCTCGTCTCATTTTCCTTATAATCCGGATCAATTTGAGCCCCTTCTCATTTACCTTATAATCCGGATCAATTTGAGCCCCTTCTCATTTACCTTATAATCCGGATCAATTTGAGCCCCTTCTCATTTACCTTATAATCTGGTTCAATTTGAGCCTCTTCTCATTTTCCTTATAATCTGGATCAATTTGAGCCTCTTCTCATTTTCCTTATAATCTGGTTCAATTTGAGCCTCTTTTCATTTTCCTTATTATCTGGTTCAGTTTGAGCCTCTTCTCATTTTCATTATAATCCTTCAATTTGAGCCTCTTCTCATTTTCCTTATAATTTGGATCAATTTGAGCCTCATCTCATTTCCCTTATAATCTGGATCAATTTGAGTCTCTTCTCATTTTCCTTATAATCTGGATCAATTTGAGCCTCTTCTCATTTTCCTTATAATCTGGATCAATTTGAGCCTCGTCTCATTTTCCTTATAATCTGGATCAATTTGAGCCTTGTCTCATTTTCCTTATAATCTGGTATGATGTGAATGATATGAAAGACTGCATCTTTCAAACACATGCACTTACTGTATATAAGATACCTGTACATTATATATGAAATTGTAGCATTTTTCACAAATTCATTTGGATATAGGTCTGTAATATTATGATTGGTATATTGCAACACTTGACCAGAATAGTTGATGTGAGTAAGCTAATTGCCACAAATAAATGGCAGAGTATCTTGCGTTCTACTATTAGCTAAGGATACATCAACAGATTCAACACTGATGACAAGACAGAAAAGAAACAAGTTTAAAATTGATGCAATTTATTGAAATTACAACAATTTACGGCAAAGGTAAAATCAATAGAATTGACATATTGAACATGTTCATATAAAAAATTTCCCTTAACAAACACTTTTAGTATATTTCTAGCATGCTTTGTGCAAAACATGATGGTGTTAATTTGACTGACTATAACAAGATGCAAGAACAAGCCAATCAATAGAAACAAATATAGTTTGTCAAAATCATCTAATATATACAAGGCCTCATAAAAAACGATCCTCACAGTTCAATATTATTGTATTTTAACTATGTACTTATATCTTTCAACAAGACTCTAATCTAATCATATATCTCAGTTCTTTTCAATTTAGAATCTCAGCTCCAATTGAACAATGAAAAACATCAAATTGAAAAAACAATGATTTTCTACTATTTTAACTTATTTCTTCATTGAGAGTTGTTTATGTTTCTATGGTTCTTCCAATTCCTGATATTCCTGTACCTGATAAAAATACATGTAAAATGTAAATTATATGCTCGAGTCAAAAACTTAGGCAACCCTCTGATTGAAACGAGAGATTACCAAAGTTGAAAACTGTTCAATGATGTGATATTCAAAGAAACATTAATTTGATCTCAATAATGTGGTTTAGGATCACGTTTATTGACGAAAATAGCTCGTATTCATGTATTAGGAATGTTAGTACGCAGAACCCTGGGATTCCAGAAGAACAGATTCTGATAGCATCTTAAAACACATTACATGTCAATATTATAAAATCCAGATTTTGCCTGCACAGATTTGCTGCAGATTTCATGTCTAGCTTCAGTCTACCTATGGATGTACTTTGCTTTAGCCCAATCAATATCTTCTTTACAGCACGGTGCCTTAATACACCCGATGCCATGTCCATTAATAAAGTATACAAAGGGATGGTACAGGATCTCTATATACTACTGCTCAATAAAGCTATTACAGTACAGTGAAACTTTTCCAAGTGGACATATTATATAGTGATCCACTCTCTTAAGCTATCAACTTTTTCTAACAGTGATATCTCTATTAATTTCTGCATGATCAGAGAGTTCATGAATACAAAGAAACTGACCCTTTCTACATTACATATGGAGTTCACCTGTTCCACACTCCTCACTATAGGAGAAATATATAAATGGGTTCAATAAGAAGATCATACAGAGCACCCTAACCTGCCAATCTGAAGAATTCACTACCATATAGTTAAGGCATCATTATGCATGGAACTGATTACTAAAAGCATGTATTGGTTTTGTGTGGCTGCCTGGCTCTGTCTGTCTGATTTCACAGAATTTGGTATTATTGTGTGCAATTGTGTTTGGGAATTCGAGGGAGGAATTCATTTTGATAGTCATAGCATCATTCTCTGGGCTGAGAAGAAATGAGATGTCATGGTTTATCATGATGGGATGAATTATTTGTGGGTACAACTCAAGATGCGGTGACACATATCATAAAACACACAACATGAAAACAACTTCTTTATTTTATCAGACTGTTATTAAATTAAATAAAATAAATAAAATAAATCAGTAATCAGACATAAAGGTCTCAAAGTCTAAGAGTTAGACATTGTTTATAGGGGTTGAAGTTAGAACTACATCCTCTTATGTTTCCATATTCACATCCTTCAAATCAACAGGACTGTCAACTTTGACAAATGTGTTTGAGAACAGATAATAAGAGGTTTTTTATACATTTAACTGTTTGAATTTTAAATGTTTTGGCAAGGATTTTTGTGGAGTCGTGGTGTTAATTTGTCGTTAATGAATTATATCCCAAGCCAAAAAGAGGCCAACCACTGGGGCCCAGGGGTCAAGCTACACTAATGATCTGTATGGTAATTGGTGCAATTTGAACATTTTTGATGTATTAGTATCTGAAAACATGAGAAAGCCCAAGCATTCTAAATGTATTAGGTGATCAACTATGACAATGGAACTCACAGGAAAAGAGTGGGTTGAGTTGGAATTTTGAATTTCTCAGATAAAATTAATTTTACAGAGCAGGTAAAATGAAATAGGCACCCAGCATCTGCTGTAAACCACAAACTATATCACATCATCTCCCTTTAGAGATTCAGATTGATTTTAATCCCTGCCATTTCTCAAGTCTCTTGAAGTCTTCACCTAGACATGCTCTCATTCATATTTCATTAACATGCAAAATATCACCACCTGCCATTTGTTATTATACTTGTTACCGATGCCAAGCACCAACCACCGCCACTAAAAGTTGAAAATTACCACTGTTGGCGGTGGTGTAATAAAAATGCTTGTAAACTTAATGTTATTCATCCTTAGGTAAATAACATGTGGGAATATAATTGATATCTGAAGCAGAATTTCATTCAGTGCATTTTCTGGACATCCAATACGTCTACCTTCAGTCCCTTGGGTAGATATATTGTATTTCCCTCAGGATATACCCTGTATCCAAAACCCCCCATTAAATAACCCTCATATATGTATTTATACCAGAGCTAAATGGTCTTACCTAATATCTTCTTCAAGTTCAGGGAAGCTTAGGAATGCAATTCGTAGTTGAAGGTGTTCAGGAACAGGTGGGTAGAAATGTTCTATTACTTCAAATGGGATGTGACACGCAACAGTTTGAGATGCGAGCTCAACAAGTGATGTCAGACCATCTACAAAATAAAATAATAAAAAAGATTAAGACATTTAAGGCTATTCTTGTTTCTGGTATCCATGTTTTTAAAAGGAATGCCTCTTTTTGCTTTTCTTTCCTTAAAATCGTTATTCCTTAAAATGTAGAATGGATGTATCAAAGTAAAGGGTAGAATTGTATTTCTGTTACAAAGCCTTTTCAAATAATCCAATGGCTATAAAAGGATATTACCTATTTTATAATAGTTATATTTCATTTTTTGTGCATACAAACAAAAACATTTTAGCATATTCAATATTCTGACCTGAAACACAATCAGAAATAATCTTTGTTAGATCCTGAAATAGTTACACAAAGTATTCCCTGATTTGAATTTTTTGACAATTTAAAATGTGGTGAAGACAAAATTACAAGAACAATGTTTTTATCAATTACATTTCAATGTTTAGTATCTCATTTATGAAATAATATTTTCATATAAATCTACAAACTGAAAAGGATTATCTCAAAAATTAATTAATTTTCATTGGTCAATTTACTGTCAATTTTCAATCATACTAAGACAAAGCAGGGGCGTAGTCAGCTTTCAGTTAGGGGGGGGGGGGGGGTGCGATCGCCACGAAAATCCAGTTTTCAGATCAGGGGTTGTGATTGTGGCATAAGCAACGCAAAAAGATTAAGATTTGTTTTGAATTTTACAAAAATTGATGTAACTCCCTTTAAAATTGAGTTAGTTGCTTCAAATAAAAAGCATTTTAAAGCTCTTAATTTCTTCAGAGTTTAACTTTGTAAACGTGAACGGAAAACATTTAAGTGATGCATTTGTGTGGGTGATTGGTCAAACATATCAGGTTGGCATTTCAATTTATATGCAAGCTTAAACTCCCTAATATATATACTAAGTTGGCTGGCATTATACAAATTCTCTGTGATACCATCAACATCTGTGCGACTCATTCATCATACCTTTAGCCCTACTACTGTTACATCAACATAATTTATGCACACATTCAGGGACATATCTGGCCCACCAATGACCTGGCCCTGGGACCATTGAACTCGAGAGAGTTCAATATTTAGTCTACTCTATTGTCCTCACATGGCACACAAAGATACTCTCAACATAAACACTGCAGTGGAGACTGTCTGAAAGGTGATTAATAGGTGATTATGAGGTCAGGTTAAAAACCTGGTTTCTAAAAAACCTTGAAGATAACCTGGTTGCAGACCAAATATGCTAATCTATATTTATACACGTCCCTGGCACTTCACTTACCATCTTTACATGTTAAGGGAATACCTTTATTTATTTATAACCAATAAATTATAAAATCAAACATTTGCAAGATTGATTATTGAATAGGGTATGCATTTCCCATAGTTTATTTGGTACATATTGGGATCATTACATGTTCTTCATTGATGGTCTTTAAGCCATTGTTCCTTGTTGGTGTGAAACAATCATCTTGTGCACAAATATAAGCAATTAACCTGGATTTTTCCTCAAAGCATTATATTGAATAAAGGGGTTAACAGGTCAATAATATTTTAAAGATTTTTTCTATGGTATCCATGGGAGGTATAGGAAAATAATTAAACTATCTGTCTGAGGACCAGGAAGATATTTTAACTGATTAAAATATGTTTGCTAAGGGTAAAACGGATGAAGATATATCCCAGGGTCTCCCAAGAGCTAATGATCCTTTCTTCTTTTTCTAATCCTTTGCTATTCATGAATAAAGGAGGATTGGCTCCCAGCATACTTTGGTGATTTTTTTAGAATGGACCAACAATGAGGTTCATCTCTCATTCAAATGCTTCCACTGGAGAATAACATTAGAGTAATACTATTACCAAATTAGACCACATCTGAGTCAAAAGAGGATATTGAAAGAATGCTGGGAGGCAATCCTCCTTGATCATGAATTTGCGTGGGAGTATTAGACAAAGAAAAAAAGCCAATATTGTTATATAACAACATACAATAAAAGAATGTTGATCATAGATCAGAAAACCACATTTAGGCAAATATGAATATTGGGCATATCCTAGCATGATTCTGAAATAGTTGAGGTTTTATAGGATGATTATGAAGAAAAAATCTTAAAGTTCAAGTACTTTAAATCTGTGTAATCAGAATATGTTTTCTATATCAGGTATAATATTTTATAAATAATGGGCACAATACAGTCAATATAATTGCAATATGTCGCTATAAAAAAACTTAACAATGAAACTGAACTTTAAAAATGGTTGATTGTTATTAAAGGGCGGTGTGAACCTTTAAATGTTTAACACTGGTTAATGTTTATTTTGTAGGATATGAGTCCTTGTTCGAACTTTATCTCAATAAGTTAAGGGCAAAATTTGTTCTGATTAGAATACAATAGAGAACAAATAGGAAAGGGATACAAAGTTCATCAAGTCCTCTGTCTAATACGATGACGAGGAAAGTAATTAACTTTAATGAATATTATGAACTATATATGTGCGCATCTCATAATAATATAATTAACCATTGTGATCAATCATTAATATGGTTAGGGATAAAATTTATATCTGTCACAGGGGTTTATTCACTTTTAGTATTTTTTAATAAATCAATGTCAATTTTCGTTCTATATCGCCAAGTTTATTGCATTCAAAGCTTCCCTTTGTTTAAGGTAATATAATAGTTAATCGTGGATGTAAAACGCTCAGTCAAACTCCTATTAATTATTATTGAAAGCGACAAGACAATAAAGATGTTCAAATGTGCTCAATAAAAATTTAGATTATTAAACTTAAGGTTGGAGAGACTTTATTTTTCATTTGACTGGCATATTTCATTAAAAAGATTAGGAAGTAAAGGATTGCTTATAAATAACATCCTTTTATTAAAGAACTCAATGACCCTTTGTCATTCTCTCAACCAACACTATTGAATACATGTGGTTTGATATAATCAGGATCCCGTTTTGGGTTATCAAGCTCAGCTGTTTCTGCTTCCAGTTCATTGTTTTATCAAGTACAAAAAAACATCCATATTTACAATAGAATAATTTAATATATAGCCTCAATTCAGGCTTATACTATTGATTTATATTTCAATTCATAATTCAACTGTTGTGAACAATAAAATGTAATGTATGAAGTTTTCCATGTGCTTGATGTTTCTTTGTTTCATTTTCCTATCATTTTTGGCAATGTTTTTCGTGTAGCATGCTATATTGTATGCATCATTATATTATATAATATATCTGAAGTAGCGTATTACTATATTTTTGTATTTAGTTTCTAACTGATCCATGTTAAGCCATATACCCCATGCAAGCAATTTCCAACCCAATGATTTATATATTCATATATAGTTGCAGGGATGGATCAAGGTGCCCAAGATCTATGTGCTTCTGTAAATTTATGCCAAAGCATCAATTCTGATTTTCACATTTGTATCCATAGCCACAGTTTTGCGTTATGATGACGGGGGGGGGGGGGTGTCTTCTTTGGCAGGTTTTAGTATTTATTGGAAATGTGAGAATTCGAGTATTTTGACAGTAAGTTCACTTCAAAATAAAGGAGGATCGGCTCCCAGGGACGCCACTCGCCACTCCATATATGGGTATAAAGTAGTCATGTTATGAATACAAAATTCAAAATCAAGAATATCGGTCATTCTCTTTGAAGCCAAAGAAATATACAGGCACGAATAGCAATATCGCATCGAGTTGAACACTGGTTTCCAATCCCCCTCACTTCAAAATCATCAAAAATACCAATATACAGGACACAGTCATATCAGATTCAATTTCTATTGTGACATGGTTTTCGGACATAGCCCTCTTCTTGTTTTTTATTTTTCCTATTTACATAATATCTTGTTCTAATAAGCAGCTTCACAAAATCAACCCTCATAATTCATTTCTCAAATGAACACGGTAGGTGTAGCCCTAGGGAAAACAATTGATGATTGAGTCGATGACTTGACCATCTCAGATCTGAACTTGTAGACTAAAGGCGAAACTGTTTCTGGAAAAAATCTGGGAAAACACCAATGTTTAGATCAAAATTCTGAATATACTTGAAGTAAATGTGTGTACCTGGAAGATGCTTTAACAGACACTCAAAATACTTCATCAAATGGGCCACTTACCCTTATTTGATGTGCTGGCCACTTGAGTTACTGTGCCACCATTTTGTTTTTTCCAACCCCTCCAGTTGTTGCATAAACTTTCAGGCTCACTAATCCATGAACATATAGAATCCTCATCAAATCTGTCACTATCCTCGAATGAAAACCTATCTCCTTCGGCTTCCCAATCAAACATAAAGTCCATGTTGGCCATAGTATTGAGATATAAAGTCTCAAATGTGGCCTAGTTTTTCAAGGTCTCAGCACAGCTGAGATTTTTCGGGGCAGTTCTTTTCTTCAGACGGCTTCAAAAATTTCCCCAACCTCTTCGAATAGCCGTTTGATTTCTATTATGAAGACATCTTTGTATAGTTATAGTATTCATCTACCACTGCACATGGGTCAGATGAGTCACAAGTACCATTAAGTGCGGAAAAAACGACTTAGATTCGGCTATTCATTTTGCACTCAAAACAATAACAAAAGGTACTCGGCCCACATCGGAGACTTCCGGCAAGTTTCGTACATTCGTGTTCTCGTTTCAAGTCTCGTCCTTTTTAAAATCTCGTGCACCATTCAGATAGGTTAGTAAAATTTTCCTCAAGTATCGCTAAATATCTTAGCCATCTTAGAAAGCTATAACCTCTTACCGACTCAAAGGCTATAACCATATTATTCCTCCATAAGCATCACCAGATTTATTACCGATCATGCATCCCTTTCTCAAAATAGTCATCTGAAATTCCATACTTCCCATAAAAATGGATAAAAATCTCAATTTTTCTCTATATTAGGCTATATTTGTATTCTCGTCGTGTTACTTATATGAATTAACCCGGACTTTGTACTCGTATTGTAGATCACAACAGAAATATCAAGAATGGCACCACGTAAAGGAAAGGCCAAGGTAGAGGAACAGATTACCCTTGGGCCTCAAGTTGCTGACGGAGAAAATGTGTTTGGTGTCGCACACATCTTTGCCAGTTTCAACGATACATTTGTCCATGTGACAGATTTGAGTGGAAAGTAAGAAAAAAGTATTATTTCCAGTGTGGCTGCTTTTTTCAGCTTCCCCATTCCAATGTTTACTTGAGAAAGATGGGAAAAGGAGGGTAATGTAAACACATACTGTAATAAAAACAATATCAGAAGTTGGATGACATTAACCATTACTTGTTAGATCTTATAACGTCTAACTTTCACCTTTGTTTGAGTTCGCCAAAAATATAAGAAAAAACATGGCTTTCTTTTTTTAGATTTGAAATTACAACCAAATGAGCAACACATTATTAAAGTTACCCAGTATATCAAATTTGCCCAATAAATAACATTGAAATGGTATCATGTTGCCTGTGTTATACCAGACTGCTCCACATAGGTTCCAATTTCTTGTAAGAAGTGAAGTTTCAAACTGATACTATTGCATAAGGTAATCAGCTTTTAACAATAGTTGCAAGAAATTACATGAATTCACGTCCCAGCTAAAATATAACACCATTATCTAATTTCAGAGAAACTATCACTCGTGTCACAGGTGGAATGAAAGTGAAAGCTGATCGTGATGAAGCCTCCCCCTACGCTGCTATGTTGGCTGCCCAGGATGTTGCTGAGAGATGCAAAGTTCTTGGAATCACAGCTCTGCATATCAAACTAAGAGCCACAGGTGGCAACAGGTCAGTTCTTTTTTTTTTACTCAGAGGTGTAAAGTCTATTTTGTTTTGTTTTGTTTCATAAGTTGGGCAGTTTATTAATTCTCAATGCAGTCAGTAAATTGTATTTACAAATATCAGAACACTCAGGGTAGCTATAGCCCTTTATTTTTGAAGTCACTTCCAAGCACTTTAGAGGGAGAAATTAGAAAATAATCTCACCTTTCAATTGATATGATTTCAGCTGATTTGGGATATACTGTACTCCCTGTAACTTTCGCATGCTATTTGATTATGCGCTTTTCACAAGTTTTGGAAGAGTATCAAAATTCTAATACATGTAGTTCAAATTCGCAAAATATAACATTTTAATGTGAAAAACTGAATAATTGTTCAAGTATATTTTTGAGGCGAGGGAAGTGTTTTATTGTCAATTACATCTTTGGAAACTCAAAATATTGTTCACATGAATTTATTTGATTTTAATTTTGCAATATGGAATACATTGTATACTGTAAAACGGGTATTGTTAGCGAGGGGTAATTGTTAGCGATTGTTAGCGATCGCTATAGTTTCGCTAAAAATTCAATTGGCTAAAATAAATCGGGGTTAAAATAAGCCGGGCGCTAAAATTTGCAAATTCCCGGGAAACTACATGAATACTATATCTAGTATTTAAGGAGCTTTTCGTTCAGTGCTCGAATTCCGGTTTGTAATTTGAAAAGGGTAAATATTTTTAAATCGTATGTTTCTTTCAATATCTGAAGGATAAATAGCCATCCATCAGTGAAATAGTATTAGTAGTAAATATAAAGATAAAAGGTGTTAATTGAACACGGTTCAACAACCAATGATATTGCTTAAATTCTCCCGTACCATAGTGAGTAAAGGATCACTTTCAAAATCAAAGTCTATAGAATCTATACACCTATGCATTTCGCTAATTTGATTTTTTAAAGATTAATCTTCATTTTGCTAAAATTTTCCGCGCTAAAACCCCCTAAAATTGAAAAATCGCTAAAATTTCCCGGTGTCAAAATTACCCGTTTACAGTACATGATTGTAGATGGAGATAAAATAGGCCATATTATTGTCTTATAATTTTTGGTTTTGAAATGTCTATTTTTTTATGTTATAAGATAATGAGGATTCAAACATGACCGTGCTCTATTCGAATTTCTCAACCAATCAGAATGCAGCATAGCCAATATAGAACGTTCTCTAATTCTCCATAGATGCACGACCATGCTCTATTCAATCTGCAATTTGCATTGTTTTGAGTGACGTCACATCTTAGCTGCACATCTGGGGCTCTGACGTCATATCTCAACCAATCAAATTCTAAAAATTTTCCGGCCGACTTCAGAATCTCGACAGCATGCGTATTCTTCCTTCATGCCCGTTCCACAGACACGGCTTTTACTAATTTTTATGTTTGAATCGGAATAAATAATGATAGGCCATTCAATATGGTGAAATTCAGCACTCGTTGGACAGAATGTTAGTACAAATGCACTCACCTTCGGTTCGTGCTTTGTACAACATTCTGTCCAACTCGTGCTGAATTTCACCATATTGAATGGCCTATCATTATTTATTCCTTAAATATATGTACATACATGCACTAACACTTACCTCAAGAAATCTTTGAATTTAATGTTGAATTGAAAACTACCATAAACCCTAATTTTGAAATTGGTTGTAAAACAAATACAGGTACCTGCTACACAGTTGCGTTAAATGTTAAATTGTTTCGTTAGAAAACATTTTGACAAAAAAGCATCATATAACAAAATATTTTGTGCTTGTACACTTCAAAAATTCTTGGTTGCGAAGCTTTTTTGTCAAAATGATTCGTAACAAAGCAATTTAATCTGCTAACCATGGTCACAGATCTTGGTGAAATAAAATTGTAAACTACCTAACGTTATAATTTTTATGTTATAGGACAAAGACCCCTGGACCAGGTGCCCAGTCAGCCCTTCGTGCTCTTGCAAGATCTGGCATGAAAATTGGCCGTATTGGTAAGTAAATAGAAGTTCTTTCTAAAGATATTCCGTAGGATAAACTAGAGTGAAGGTTTCAAAACTTTCAAACTCTTCAAATTTTAATTTTTTTTTAATTAAAAAGTTATACAGTTGCTTTATGGTTTGATAAATCATGCTTCATGAATGAATTTTGATTTGAACATTGTGGATAGTCAAATGATCTGTATATTTAACCTCATACAAAAAATTACATAAAAAATGTAGTTTAAAAACCGTTAAACTGCTTTCTCCGAGAAACTGGTTATTGTTTTTTAAAGGCTGGGATTTTAATGTTAAGTTTTCTTGTGTTTTTGCAGAGGATGTCACTCCAATCCCATCAGACAGTACAAGACGAAAGGGAGGTCGTCGTGGACGTCGTTTGTAAATTTATTGTACAATATATGGCAAAATAAAGACTTTCACTGCAACCTAAAATACATGGAGTTAGTTGAATGAAATGTGTTGATTGGCTATGAAATGCCAGTTTTGTTTTGCCTTCACAAAGTGAATTGGCAAAGCATCTCTTGAATAGAATGAATGGGAAGCAAACCTGGTACCATTATGTCCCAAATAAGAGGAAATATGTGGAATCAAAAACACAATAGAAAAATGTAAGGATATCGAGATGGCATCAATATTTATTATTGTTGGTGAATTTTGGTTCAAACAGTGAGCTTGTGGGATGGTTGAAGCATCCCTCCATTATTTGTTCCTCTCTCGTTTGTCAACATTGGGGATACATACTGCCTTTCATAGATGTTCATATCTACATTCATTTTATGTCTATCCATAGTATCTATTTCATGTGATCGCAATTTGTAAATTCAAAGGTGGACATCTACACTATGCTTTGTCAAATATAGGACCCACAACTACTGTGCTGGCACAGTAAACTGAACCAAATATCACTTGATTTCAAAATTTTTGAATTGTTTTGAAGAAAAAGCTTTTTTTGCTCATAATCCACAAAGCTGTTATTCACGAGGCTATACAGCCATTGAGTACATACCTCATGACAATAGCCAGCAACATCAAGCATCATGTGGTAGTTCCATGCAGTAAATTGTGAATGTTGCTTAATGATTAAAATTCTAGGAAGACTAATCAAGGTTAAGACTCCACATTATCATGATTTTTCAAAGGTTGATTGATATTCACCTTTAAGTGTTTGAAAGCTAGCATTAGCTATAGACCTCATTATTTTGATATCTCCAACTCTGAATTTTGGGAACTCTGTTATGACATACAGTACTTTCTGCACACGAATCTCAAAAATGGGACAGAATGTCTTGACAGCAAAACACTGGTCCCCACCTGGTTATAAAGACGTTTATATAACAAAGTGGATAACTCCTGTTGGGAAATTTTATTTTTGATCAAGGAGGTTGGTTTAGTTAATTAGTTTCTGGGTAAATGTTAAGGTGACCATGTTGCATTTTCCGTCCTGAAATCTGGTCTCTCCAGGGTTGTCTACAGGTTTTCACCCAAACCATTAAAGGGATTCATCTGAAATTTCAGGGTTGATTCTACATATGAAAGTTAAGAACTGATCAGTTTTTGGGTATTCTGGTTAAATGTTTAAGAGGTTATTTTGGATTTTCCGTCCTGAAACTTTGTGTCTCAAGGGTTGTCTACAGGTTTCCAGGCAAACTATGTGTCTTGCTAACAATAACTTGAAAAATCGTGGAGCGATTTTGTTAATATTTAACTATGTGTCTTGCTAACAATAACTTGAAAAATCGTGGAGCGATTTTGTTAATATTTGACTCGAGAATACTATAAGCATGGGACACTTTATGATGACACTTCGTGAAAAGGGCAATTTTTATGTGTGTTATTTGACCTTACTTTTAACTCAAAAAGAAGTAGAGCAATTTTGTTCATATTTGATATGTGAATACTATAAGCATGGCAGACTGTCTAACAACACTTTTTGTAGCACTGGTGACCATTTTTATGTCTGTTATTTTACATTTTTACTCTAACTCAAAAAGCCAAAGAGCGATTTTGTTCAGATTTGATCCATGAATATTGAATACTCATAAACATGACACAATGACTATGAAACTTTGGCTAGTGGGTTGCCATTTTGAAAAATATTTACATATACAGGGTGTCCCGAAAGTATGGGCCCCCCCCCCCCCCCCCTAGGCAGACATATACCAGTGTCGTCATAGTATGTATCATATATCATTTTAAAGCTCACACAAAGTTACATTGATTCACCAAGTATCATGGTTCAACTCTCAAATGTGAAAAAATTACAGGCATTTCAAAATTTAGTGTTTGGTCAAAATGAAGTTCAATTTTACACCAAATTACTAGTCAATGTGTCCTTCCGGGCCATTGTAACAGCAGCAATTCTTTTCGGGTCGGATGTAAAATATTTACATATACATGGGTGCCATTTTTATATGTGATATTTTTTAATTTTTGCTTTAACTGAAAAAGTATAGAAGGATTTTGTAACTAGACAACAGCAACGCCAAAGCGTAGCAAATCCCATCGAACAGCCATGGCTGGCATTTTTACAAAGTATATAGCAAAAATGGCAGCCATTTTTCAAAATGGCCACCTTCTACCAAAAGTGCCATTAGACAGTTTGCCATGCTTATAGTATTCCCATATCAAATATGAACAAAATCGCTCCACTACTTTTCGAGTTATAGTAAAATACGTTAAAGTGTGCGCCTGACCCGGCTACGTATAGCACAGAGTTTATACTGGCGGATTAGACTAGTTCATTTTTTATATGTGTGTGAAAGCTTTCTCTTATTTGTGTTTTTTCGTTTAGTACGGTTTTGTTATAATTGCCGAGGTCATATAACCGGGATAAAACAATGATTATCGTTGACTGCCCACACACAAAACATACATTGAGTGAACAGTGTTATTACAGGCTTTAGAATACAAAGCGTAGTGTGATAATAAGCTGTACACTACCACTGCTGCATGTACATATTACTAATTTACTAGGGCTCCCAGAGAGTGGATAGGGAGGTTGTGTTTGTCACTTTTAAATTTTACATTTCAAAATTGTCATTTTACATGTCATAATTTGTTGGTTTCATTCGTTTAGCCAATCAAAACATTGTAAAACAATAAATTGTCTGTTACGTACAATCAATTTTGTTCAGTTTTGATTAGTTGTCAGAATAAAGTTACGTTCATCTGAATCCATGTATCAAAACAAAAATCCTATTTTCACTTCAAAATACTTCAGTGAGATGAAGGCTCGGAATTGTCACATGCAATAACTTATTGTCGTATTCGTTATTTTATCTTCTCGGTAGTAGCATTTAGTCGCACATTTGATGCCAGGTCACCTTGTCGCGTACCTCTTGGGGAACCCCACATTTATGTGTGTACTCATGGAAGTAAATTCCCCGGTGTAGCCGAGAGCCACAAACCTTTCAACAGGTTCGAAATGACCAATTTCTCTCATATATACTCTAAATATTTTATTATTTAGCACCTACAAAGTATTGCTAAAAACCATATGTAATTTCAATAAGGAAACTTATCTGGCTACATATAAATTCAATATCAACACTAGCTGTTCTCTCAACACGTCCTGGCTTACCTTGTGGTGACACACCCTGGATTTTCGCTATTTATAGTTTATCAACACCTGGACGCATGCACATTTTATAGTTTATCGGGCACTTTTAAAACGTTAACAAATTTAGCAAAGTAGGGTCAAGGGAAAGGTCCATTTAGGCCAGATGCCATGTAGACCAAAGATGCATCCCGCTTTCCTAGCTATAAAAAATGACCTGGGGGGATAACCTATAACCAACACTGATAGATGGTAAACTGGTGTCAAATTTTTAAAAGAAGATTAAAATGGTGAGAACTGTTGTTGATATTTACCTGTTTACAGAAGGGTTGTATTAAGCTCAATGGTGTGCATGTTATGGATGGTGTGGTTTTTGTGTGACCACAATATTGTAAAATGTAAGGAGTAAAAACTTGCACTTACAACCTGGGTGTTGTTAAAGTAACACAGTATTTCAAATTACTAAATGATAGAACTACCAATCATCATGAACAAAACATCGAGTAAAAGTATATTTAGTTGGCTTTATTTCTGGCAAATGATTAAATAAATAAAAGCAAATAAGATAAATAATAAAAAACAACATTTACTAATGAGAGTAATGGGTACTCTTCCAGTTTCATTAATGTACTTCTGACGTGTCTGCTACAATCTTGAATCTTATAAGGTTTGTTGAAATAATTTGCACATATGGATGACTCGTAAATTTTACATCATTTGATGTCCGAGTGATATACAAAAAATAAATGCTGTAGTTGTTTCCATAATTAACACATTTTTTAAATCTCAGTTTGAGGGTAGTCTTGCATCAAGTTCCAGAACCCCCCCCCCTCTCAATATACTTCAGCTTCACATGTGTGTAGGGGGAGGGGCATCTCAAGAAGTAGAGACAAGACTAGTTCAACAGCCAATTAATCAAAATTCAATTACATGTTAAGTCCATTCAATCAGTACAACCTGCGTAAGTATACCTCATTTCGAGTAATTTACAGAACATTATTACCAATGTATGTACAACCTGGAACAACATTCTCGAATATGATGTACCTACCTACATTAAACATTATCCATCTAAATGAACAGTGATAATAAACTAAAATTCATACTCTAAGCAGTATATACACGTACATACATTCAGTAAGCCTTGCTTTATATCGTATACTACTTGTTTCATGTGTAAAATATATTATCTCTAATTGCTGTACATTTTATGCCAAGTGTAATCCACAATCCAAGTCAGGCTCATCTCAATTTGAGGCTTTTACATGGAGTTCAATGGGGATAACAGCAACTACTCTATACATGTATATTCATTATATGTAAGTATTTTAAGTATCCTAAGTTTTTCAAAGCATGTCCCTTTTTTCAATGACCAAATAAACAATTTTCGTTTTCATGATTCAGAAATATTTACAACAGAGGGATGCAGAGATCCAATACTCATTTACTAAATAATAGCCCCATTTACTCTTGATTTTGTTCCCCTATAACTACTTGCATGTATATACTTCTTTTATTGACGTATGACGTTTTCATGAAACATGATCCAATTGTATAATTCAAGTATTGTAAGTATAAAGGGGATAATAATACATACAATAAGGGCCTATTTTCCAAAACATCAGTATAAATACAGTATTTGTTGCAAAAATATGATATCTGGTACTTTCAATGAAAATGACCTTTATTGCCCTGAATTCTTGAACAATTTTCAGATTACCTTGCTGTACATTTTGACTGAAACTATGTTTTACATATCTAATATACAATGATTTCCTTCATAAAATGATGCACTGATTTAACTATGCAGCCATATATGGGAGGAGGTCTATCAGGATAGATTATATAACTCTCCAAGTGTAATTTGCTATACGATTCTGAAATCTCACATTTTTGTTAAGTTAAAGAATTCAGAACTTTCAAACAAAAAACTGGGTTTGATGAGACAAGGTATAAGAGAAGACTTATTAAAACATTAGGAATACTGGAATAAGATATAATATATTTTAGAATCTCGAATAGACACCCCTCCCAACTATGATAAGCCTCTACCATGTCTACACAATGTTGTAGTTCTTCTATTCATAACTCTTATTTTACATAGTGCTTTTAGAGTGACACATTTATTATTATAAAATTAACTGTTAATCACATATTTATGATGTTGTACATGTATTGTAAACAAATTTCAATATTCCATTCAGGGATCAGGTCCGAACAAATCACTTACTTTGGTTACTGTGTGTGCTTTATAATTAAATACAAAATGCAAATTCCTAATAAAATATACAGAAGCTATATTCTTCAAAATAATGTAGTTCCTTACAACATGTACAATTTAAAGTAAGTAGCATCCAATGCATTTTATGCTCAGAGCTTAAAAGGCCAAAAGTATTTTTTACCTCAACTGAATTGTAGAGTGCGATGTGCATTAGAATAATCAAATTCTCCTTAAGCAACACCAACATAAATAGATGAAGCTTTAACTAAAGGCTTTTATTTCATTTCATTTTCTAAATGAAAGATTGATTTCAAGACAACAGGACCCTTTAAAAGGGTACCATTATTATTATGCTGTTTGCATTTTAACATAAAAATGTAAGTATGTATGGCCATATCAGGTCCTATTTCCTTTCCAAAATGAAGTCAATAATTTGCAGTAGGCAGGCAGAAGTGACATGATGATCTGAAACCTGTTTGGATCTCAGATTAAAGATATTAAGTGTATTTGTATCTCCTAGAATTTTGACCAAAATGTGATATCTGATCCAAACAATAGAAAAATGCCATTTCACGCATAATTTTAGTCCTTTTAGAGAAGTCAGTTCCCAAAAAATAAGAGTTGACTAGACATTTCAACAAAACGTTACATGTCCAAAGGATTAATTGAAAAGAATTACTCCTGTGAAAATACATAATTTATCCACATATCCATTTCAGGATGTTTGATGTGTGTGCAATTAATAGTTGTATTTTGCAACATGTACATATTACAGTAAACCTGTGTAAGTGGAACACCTTTGGTACTTCTATAAGGTGTTCAACTAGGGAGATGTTCCATTTATAGAGGTTGATTGAACATGAGTTAGGAAAGTGTTCCACTTACAGAGGTGTTCCACATACACAGGTATTCCACTTAACAAATTTTCTGTTTATAAACACCACATTCTCAGTCAATTTTCACAATGTATGTTTCCATACTGATTGAACGAACTGATTGAATGTTGGATGTGATACAGTGTAATATGATAATGGAGAATTTTTGCAATGTTTCAGTTGAACATAAAAACATGTTGATTTGGCTACATGGCAAGACATGATGCACTAGATTGAGTAACTATGGTAATTTCATAATAACCATAAAGTTCAATTAGTTTTAAAAGTACAATAAATTACAATTTAATGTGATATCCATTAACACAATGGCATTACAAAAAAAATGAAGATGCATGGTTTTATGATGACAAAAAATTACAAAAGAAATGACTGGTAACCATGGTAATGACTGGTAACCATGGTGATACAAGTATGATGTGTACGTCAGGGAGATGCTATAGCCACCATTCAGCACTGTCTCTATTTACTTGTTTCTCTTTCTTGATTGTTTTGTCCTTGCGACGTTTCCAGGGAGGGCTGTGGTAAGAGAATAGAGTCATGCACTAGAGGCAGTCAAAGAACACAAATGGTCAGCCAGATTGCACATTGACAGTTCCACACAATTAACACATTATATTCAGCTAATATTATGCAAAGTATTTTAGAAGTTCAATTAGAATCATTATCAGTCTTATTTTATTAAATTATAACAATTTTATTTATGTTGATATAAAATATTAAATTTTGAATTAAGAGTATTATAATTAGTTTCACAAGCTAGTAGCATTACAAAAGCCCAAATCACACAATTTTCAAAACAAGGAAAATATTCGAATAACTGTACATTGTCAGTAATGAATGCATGCATTATTGGGTTAACATTAGTGCAAAACAAGATTCAATGCACCTTAACATGCAGATGCATAATAAGTTGACAGTTGACAAATTAAGGCCTTTAAATCATTTTATCAAGAATTTCCAAGAAGTTCAATTTCTTTGACTATTTTGATGTTTTATTTTACTGTAGCACTACAAAGACACAGCAAAGAGAGAGGATGGACTTGATCACCACTTTGGCATAATCTTTCATCAAAGACACCGAATAAGATTTTCTCATGCCCTCTAAAACAATGTTTGAAACAATCTCTGTATACAGTCAGTGCATTCTTGTCTATACATTGTAAATAATATGGGGGCTATGTTCCATATTAGGTATACTTTGTGCAACCTTTTAAGTGGTAACATGTCACTGTATTTGCTTGTTACTGGAATGTTCTATTACAAATAGTGCAGTTGTCGAAAGAATTAGTTAGATGCCTCAGTCAGGTTTCTAGTTAGCTTGTTACTAGAATATTCTGTAACAATATAGTGCAGTTGTCAAACGAATTGAGGTTTCTTGGTCAATCCAATGAGTTGGCTTTATCATTAAGTAGACAGATATGGCCATCAAGTGCAAGACGATTTGGCGATCTGGTGCAATATAATCAAGTGCAATAATAATCCAGTACTAGATAATCGAGTACCTTCAGCAAAGTGCAAAATATTCAAATATGTTTCAGCTAGTTATCATGCGAAAGTGACAGTATCCATCACCTGTACAAACACACATATTCCTATTTAATCAGTAGATTACTTGACCCTTTATGGTGGACCACAACCTGATTTTTTACATAGCACTGTTACAAATAACCCAACATTCTGCACACGATGTAAAATTATATACAGTATTTTATCACACGATTCTAGCCCTTATTACACTGTTAGTATTGACATTCCTTCTTGATGGGTACAATTGTTAGTATTTCTTTTAAAAATACATTCATATAAACAGCTTTTGGTTTTTACCATTGGCATCAGGCACAACTGAAGATCAGTTTCACTTTTTCATTTATAATTTTCTTCAAATTTTTCATAGTTTTATTTAGATTTTTTCACTTGTGCCTCATGGTTTTGCCTCATGGTTTTTGGACTTTGTACCTTGCGATGATTTAGTATGGAGAGTATCAATGTATTTTCCATGCTATGTTGGTCCAACACCTACTATACCACAGGGATACAAGAGCTAAAATCACAATTTAGTCACCTCAAACATTTCAAACTAAAACATGTAAAAAATAAAATAAAAGGTCAAATATTTGTTCCCAACTAAAAAGATCAAATATTTGATTCTACAGAACTGAATTAATCAAGCACAAGCCATTTCAACTTATTAGGTTTTAAAAATCTGAAACACTTTGTGACTAGATAATTACTAGCTCTAGTAAACGGTGGCTGAACTGAGGAAAGCATTAGGGCTTGCGTAACAGCAACTGATGCGAGGTTGTCATGGTAACAACTCCACTTACAGCATCTCAATGTCTGCATCTGTTTTATAAATGGCCGCTCTGTAACTATAGCGATCAGATAAACTGCGCTGTACTGGATTGACCACAGGAGGTGCAGCAATCCCAGGAGTCTTGGTTATCCCTGGGGTTTGTCCTATGAGTTCCTTGACAGCATTAAGAGCTGATTGGGCCTCCTGTACTGGAGGTGAAGGGGGCTCCTCTACCTCCCCTATTGTAGTCTCAACTAGAGAGGGTTCAAGTTCGGGGAATGCAGCCATCTTGGATGACAATAAATAAGCATAGGTTTTGAAGCGTCTCAACTGAAACAGGAAAATATTGTAAGGATAGGGTGGTTAAACTACCTATAAATTGAAAAATAACAATCAATACAAGTATCCTATCTTGAATGGAAAATTTACTTTGTTACGCTTTACATGTTTATCAACAAAACAAAGGAAACAATTGCCAACGATTCAAAAGATAATGTAATCTTGCATCTACTAGACTTCTCTCTTCTTGTGAGGGGATATGAGGGTTAAGCAAAACTAAAGATTATGTCAAAAAGCCCCATATATAGTTTTGTCTCACCTCAAATTCCAGGTATTGCTCCTTCTCTAAGTACTCTGAAACGTAACGTGACTTAGCACCTTTTTCTGGGGGATTAGCCTTGTGTTCACTGAGCTCACGCTCGAGGTCTAGCACCTTATGTTCATGATTAGTCAGCTGTTCTCGCTAGAAGATAATAAACATATATTTTGTGAGATAATAACACCTATAAGTACATTAAAACCTGTCTAAGTGTAGCACCTTTGGTACTTCTAAAACATGTTCCACAAGTGTTCCACCTATAGAGGTTGGTCTTGGGACTTGGGACTCTTAAAAGTATTCCACTAACAGAGGTGTTCCATTTCTAGAGGTGTTCCACTATACAGGTTTCACTGTATGTAGAAGATTCTTCTTCTTAACATACATACATGTATATTGTTATTATCCAAGCCTCTTGCTAGTAATCAGGGGGCCATTAACAGAAGCTTCATAAAGTTAAGAATGCGTAAAACCCATTGTTCTCTAACTGTGACATCATTATATCTATGGTTACAACAATTGATTTACAAATTCGTAACTTTACTAAGTTTCTGTTAATGACCCCCAGGTTTTTATATTCTATAAGAATTTATTGTATGTGTTCAATATAAGGTAAAAATATAGCTTACCAAGTTGCATCTTGTGTATGAAGCTGGCAAAAGAGGGCGCTGGAATTTCTTCTGTGAGCCACAGCCAGCTGCCAGAGGTGGCGAAGAAAGACTGGCAGCTACAAGGTTTATGGTATCTATCCACTCCTGAAGCTCTTTGCTGTCGCTGTAAATTAACGTTCAATTAATATATAAATGAGCCCAAAAAAAGATAGAGAACATTCTTAATGTACAAGCCTTAAATTCAACTTGAGAATAGCTTAAATCACATATACAAGTACATTATGTGTTTTTAAAATGACTGATTCAGCAGATGTAATATCATTCTCTGTCTATTCAATTCTAATGAGAAATTATTACACGACTATGTGTTTGAAATTCTATGATAAGCCGAGAAATGACACCTATAAGCAACAAGACATTGAGAGCATGGAGAGAATGCAATTTTCTGATTGTTTGCATTTTGTTTTTATATTGTTTGAAATGATGAAAATCAAAAAATCTGTATACATAATTAAATCCTTTAAATTAAATATATAATCTACGATGTATGCATAGCAATATGGTTGTGATGAGATTATGCTGCCATCTATTGGTAATGTGACAACTGTCCTTATTTAAGGGACTTAAGTACAGCTGCACTCTGTGAAAATAAGCTAACACCACCTTCAAGCTTTTAAATATCATGATCGAATGAAAACACCACTTATGATATCCTAAAATCCAAATTTATATATGAATATGTAATCAATCATCAAATATAACTTTAACATCAAACCACACCATGCAATTAAAAATAAAAACAAAGAATAATAATCATAAATTAGAAATTTAATTAATCTTTAAACAATTGAAAGAGAAAGCCTTGCCAACCAAGAATAAGAAAAATGCAATGTTAAGCATTTCTCTTGAAGTTTGCATTATGTACACCACATAAACTGAATGTGCAATTTCTATGATAAAATATCACGCTTTATCTCATACCTGCCAATCTACCATTTTCATAGTATTCTAACATTGAATTATCTTATAAAAAATAATGAAAAAGAACAAGCTAAACACATTTACCATTTATTGAAAAAACTTCAGTTATACCAATATCTTAATTAAAATTGTTTTGAAAAAATGTCTGCTTAGATATCAACCTGAAAAACTAGTTTTTAAATCTACAGAAAAACCGACATGTAAAACACAGAACTATAAGTCTACTATTTTGGATTATGCAGGTTGGCAGGTACGTATCTTGCGTAAAACACAAACCTTTATTTAAAAATGATTAGAAACTGCAGTTCAAATGAGAATCGTGATATTTGATCATGGATTGGTGATTCAAGCCAACATCCAATGAATAAATATAAGATATGCGTGGCAATGCAGAACACGGTAACCAGACGGCTCATATCTCAAATTCCTCCTAACTCCTCATGAAATGTCTAGTTTTAAATTCAACATTTAACTCAGGGCTACCTCACACAATTCTGGAATTGCTCATATATAATGGAAACTAGAAAGAATATTGTCAAAATTCATTGCAATGTAGTCTCCACAACTCTACATTGGTAGTCACACATTACCTGTTGTTTTCACTTGTTTTGCCCATTATCATAATTGTAACCCCTGCACCCCAAATAAATATAGTTAAGCTGATATTCCATTCATTCACATCAGTCACTGTTAGCCATGTTTTTTCAAGAAGTGCAGCATCAGTGTGCAGTTGTAAATAAAGCCCTTCAAAGCCAAAGATTTCAAATTCCCCGATATTATGTGTAGATTTTCTGCATTCAAGAGCTGTTATATGCTGAGAGAATAACCCATGTTATGTTTAGTAGAATTCATATTGATGCGAAAAGCTAGTATTGTGACAACCAGGCATATCAATAGAAATCTAAAACTCCTCTCAAACATGACAAAGCTAGAAAATATATACAAACAATTCCAAACACCACAAAACAAGTGTTAAAACCCATAAACATAGCTCCAAAGTCTCACAAAGTTATAAAAAGTTCAATCAAAAGTTCAGATTTGCAAACGCAGATATCACACAAGAAATGAGTTAAAATGAGATATGAGCTGAAATAGCCAAGTGTTGAAATTACCTATCAGAACTGGAGTCGGGCAAGCTGAAAATCCAGGATGCAAAATAAAATTTAAGATGTGAATATGCTCCAGCAGAGCAGAGCTTTTACAGCCTTCCACCTAGTGGTCCCAGGGAAGTAGCAAGTAATTGGATATTCCAATGAAAGCTGACCTCAAAGGTTATCCTGTTCCCGGACTATAGTCCTGTACGGAGCCAATACATTTGCCTGTACGATTACAACTTGGGAGAATTATCTACGCCCCTTCCACTTAAGAAACCTACCTCAATGCATTCTAGAACTCAAAATGTAACTTCTAATATATTGGAACCGCCGATTGTCTGGGTTAGTTGGCAGAACGAGGTCTTTTTGTTTCTTATGGCTCTTTTGGTCGAAGTTCGATTAAGATGGCGGTTATAACGGAATTTCCCGAACTCTTCCGTAATAGCACGAACTTGGTTTTTCGTTACTTCACTTCCATGTAAAATGGATTTGTTTCCGGTAAGAAACATTGTTTAACCATTCGGTATACAGTTAAGAGCATAGGATGTCGACATGGCAGTAAATATTGAAAATATTGTCCGAAATTTTCGAAATTCCCTCTTACCCGAAACAAATCCATTTTACACGGAAGTGACGTAACGAAAAACCAAGTTCGTGCTATTACGGAAGAGTTCGGGAAATTCCGTTATAACCGCCATCTTAATCGAACTTCGACCAAAAGAGCCATAAGAAACAAAAAGACCTCGTTCTGCCAACTAACCCAGACAATCGGCGGTTCCAATATATTAGAAGTTACATTTTGAGTTCTAGAATGCATTGAGGTAGGTTTCTTAAGTGGAAGGGGCGTAGATAATTCTCCCAAGTTGTAATCGTACAGGCAAATGTATTGGCTCCGTACAGGACTATAGTCCTGGAACGGGATAACTCAAAGGTTCCATTCTGGCTAGAATAAATATGTTTGTTTAGCATTATTTTGGTTTTTGTCTACTTTTTTGAAAATATTGCAAATTATGTATTTATTATACATATATCTGTCCAAAGAGATGAATCTGTTTATTTTCCGGTTAAATCAACCTAATTTCATATGCAGTTTAAATAATGAGTTGAAATGCGAAACAATTTATTTGTTTTCCCTAGCCTTATTTCCCTGATTCAAACGAGTCATCACATTTGGCTCAGATCAAATTCAGAATACCAAAAAAAATTTTAAATCAAAACTGTTACAAAATATTCAAACTTGGTGCCCATGGAAAAGGCTATCAATACTAGCTACATCCCTGGGTGTTCAAACATTCTGCCTCAATAGGTATGTGGAATAAATACAATGTATTAGGAAATGAGAACATCAGCTGTAGTGTTTATTTAAGCTGGCATCTACCATTAAATAGAGTGCATTAGTAGATACAGTAGGAACGCAATCTCAACATTAATCCTGCCATATTACATTATCATGAAATAGCTGTGTTAAAATACTACTGCTTTTGAATCTGAGGAAAAACTATAATTTACAACTACGTAGCATTAGGGCTAATGAGAACTAATAGACATACATTTAGTGCCAGTTGAACTACAAATTATATGAAATAATTACATTTTGGACAAAACAAGATCGCTCATGCGCTACTATAGAATACAATGGGAAGGTTGTCACAGTACAGCACAAACATGCTTTGACATCACAGACAACTATGATTGACAGGTGCATTGGAAAGATTGACATGTAGCTCCACCTACCTGGTCTGGAAGAGATACTCTGCCCAATCAGCTGTCTGTAGACGGAACACATATTGCTTCTTGCTGTAGTCTGTTGCCTTGGTAGCAAGAGCATGGTGTATACGTATTGCATTGTTCATATTCTCATACATTGAGTTCTTTTTAAATCCATGCTCGTCTTTGTGAAGGTAAAGGACCATGTCCTTCAGGGTGGCATAGAACATCTTCCAGCCTCTTTTACCAAATGGAGCTAAAGTGAAAAAATAACAATTAAAATAGATTATAGTAATGCTTCCATGGGTAAAACATGATTATTATAGTTTCTGTTGACATAAGAGTATCCAACAAAACAATTGAGAATTAAATGAAGTCATTAAAATAAGTGTGGAAATTGATACATGTAGGTAAAGTGATCGAGTATACAGTAAACCTTAAGTATGATAGTATTACGCCAGGATAATAGCTTATAAATTTAAGGTAAAAAAGTGGATTCCAGACTTGGATGGATGAAGGCAATGTGTCATGTGATGCCACAGTTAACTACCCACATGATATATATACAGAAGTCCCATTGTCTCCCCAAAGAGGAGCTATTAAGGGGGGTGACATTCTTACTTTTCCTGCCATCAGGGTCTGTGCAACATTTCCTCATCACATAGCCCTTCTTATAGTCCGTGGCACTCTCTGGATTGGGAGTCTGCAACACAATTGAAACAGTTCTTAAAATGTTAATTTGAAAGTTATGTTTTGACAATATTCTCAGAATTTTATGATAAACAATGTCACGATAGATGTTCAAAAATGGCTGTAACTCCTGACGGGGGTTTGCAACACAAATGAAACAATTTTCAAAATGTCAATTTGAAAGTTATGTTTTGACAATATTCCCAGAATTCTATGATGAACAATGTCACAATAGATGTTCAAAAATGGCTGTAACTCCTGACGGGGGTTTGCAACACAAATGAAACAATTTTCAAAATGTCAATTTGAAAGTTATGTTTAGACAATATTCCCAGAATTCTATGATAAACAATGTCACAATAAATGTTGTACTGTATCTCCTGATTGAGAATATTATTGTGTCATAAATCATAGAATCTCTGTCTAGTAGTGAATCAAGCCATCAATTTAGATGCGATATGAACAAACCCACTTTTTAAGATGAATATTTACTGTAAAAGAAAATAATAAAGGCTCTCTGGAATTCTACTTCATCTGCTCTAAATAAAGTATGATTCTTTGATCTGCCTGTCGCCTATGTAAGCAGGGTCTTACCTCAAGGAATGGATTGTTCCCCACAAAGGCATCATGTTCTGGTTGTGCGCCTGATGCACCCAGGGGGATGGAGGGGTCGGGGTAAAGCATTTCTGCTACTTCTTCATCTCTGGAATAAAATTGAAAAGATGTTTGCTTAAAATGCACTGATAATCAACAAGAAATCATTAAAAATATGAAAACCATGATGCTTGAATTTCAAATGAATTTCTATTTTTCGAATGGACTGAAATTAAATCCTTAATGTATAAAATGTTATTTGTTCTCGTAAACATTGGCATTGCATTAGGACAATTTGAAACAGAGAATTGAGGAAAGGTGGTTGACATCAAGGGAAATCAATGAATTGCTCATGCACTTACGGCGCCCATTCTAGTGATTCATTCTTGATAGAAGAGTAGACAGACTTGAGCACATCTTTTGGAAAGTTTTCTCCATCGTTCAGCTCTGATAAGTTCTCTATGAACTCAGCACAAGTCATCTTCTTCCCAATGTTCTGCAATGTTAATATATGTTTATTAGTTATGTAAATGTACATGAAACAATAGTCTTGTATCAGTTTATCCCCTACCACCCTACATCAACTTTGTCAACCTGCTTTGGATGGAATTGTATGTATGAAATATTAGACCTGCATTAATTTTCCTCTTCCCTTCCAATATCAACTTTGTCAACCGGTGTCCCAGGCAGAATAGAGTGAGGGAGGGGGGGGGCAACACAAGGAATAGTTGAAATACGTACAATCAAGTAAAATACAAAATTGACAAATTAAGAAATATACTTCAAGAAAATCTGAGTACAGTTCAGTAAGACAGGTTTCACTGTTAGGACAGATAGGTAAAATTCTCAAAATAGTAGACTATTTTAGATAAGATGCTGTTGTGTTTAAAGGAAATAGTTACAGAATATGCTATGACCTACGATTAAACAAACAGGAATAAATTGATTTCTGAATAAAACCAAATTGTGTATCACTCCAAATAAATGGGGTGCTGGTAATTGAATTTTCAGATTTTGCCGCAATTTCCCGATTGAAGAAGTTTCCTAATGATTCTGGTTAGGACTTTCAATGCCAACCCTTGAATTACAACCGAGAACTACATATAGTACATGACTATACGCCAGAGATTATACATGCAGGATTTAAAGTTTACTGAGTTTGTATCAAAATTTATAGCTATTCGCTTCAATGAGTTCAATTGAAATTTGAGGTGAACACTCTTGACAGAAAGCAATTTTCTTGAGGGTTGATGTAGTCATTGAACAATACTTCACATTCTATGTTACTAATAGAAGGGGTCTAACTCAAGAATATGAAAATATGTATATATAAGGTTCAATGGCTTCATAACTGTCACTCATTTGAGAACAAATAGTGGCTCCGATGATTTACATTTGAAAGAGCCTTGCTTCATTGAATATATCAGTGATCACACAGATGCTATATGCAATTACACAGACAACAAATTCCAATGGCACATTTTAGTCCATTAAATTGATGCTTTTCCAAACCTCCCTGAAGAGTAAGTGAGTATATGAAGAAAGTCCAAGAATCATCGATCCATTGTTGCCCAATAGAGCTAGACTCGGTACTTAACCCATGCCAATAGTCAGTTATGTACAGATATGTTAAGACCTACCTGTCCATGAAGGTCTGTATTGAGGAGCATGATTGCACAGGTCAGTGTATGGCAGGCATCTAGAAATAATATAAATACAATAATCACACGTTACTCACCAACCAGGGTGGAGTTATAAACACAACCAAACCATTTAGTAGTTATGATTTTGGGCCAGCTGATTATTCAAGCATAGGCTATAATGGAACATCACAGGACAACTGTGTGTAATTCAATTTTGGCCAGTATGTATAAAATACATGTACTTACATTGCGCCCTGCAACTTACCAACTCACTCACTCAATCAATTACTCACTTATACACTCACCTAATATAGTACTAAACTTATGACTTTAATTACACTCAATCAGTCACTCACTTAGTTGCAAAACTCAAGATTATTCAACTTCTGACTTCTAGATATGGTAATTGTAAGATGTACATTTAAATTGACTACGTGACAGACTGATGGTTTAATAAAAAAAAATTGAATGTTATGACCCATGTTGTGTTATCTAAATACTAATTCTCTTTGTCCTCATTTAAGTGAACCAATATATATGGCAAGTCATACCTTCAGAGTTGAAAGACCCAGGGTTACAGATCATATATCTATGGGAGAAGTGAGCCAGCACCCTCTCTCGTTCCTGAGTCTCACCCGTCAGTGAAAACTGATTAAGGAAATCCCTTAGGGCGCCATCTATGCTCTTCTTAGTGAAGTCAAAATGCAGAAGATATTCATCTGCTACTTGGTAGCTAAAGTCATTCCTGGAAAAACATTCAATTGTGTTTAGTTTATGTAATTAGAAGTAACATAAGTAACAGGCAACTTGACGTTGGTTGATGTGACATTGTCGCAATGATATTTTGGTGCAATTTCCCTAGGCTGCAATATTCAATAAATACAACTATGATTCTTCCACAATATAAGATATTGTTTTCACCTGGTGTTAATCCTCATTGTAGGCACTAGGCACTTTTGCCTAATTGTTCAATTCTTTTAGTTAAATATTAAACTCCAATGGCTTAAGTGTTGTCTATCTATGAAGATGAGGCAATAAATAATTATATGTCCATGAAAGTTGAATTCTTCAATATTTCCTCCAGTTTCTTTGTTTGAATTTTGATTCTTGAACTGTTTATTAAATAATGTGATATACATGTCACAATTGTGACATCATCCATTTCATGTCACTTATTTCTACCTGATCTATTCTACATGACATTATCTCCTATGTAATGAAACCACAAACTCTATAAATCGCTAAATGAATGCAGCCAAATTGATTTACTGAATCGAGTACAAATTGAACTCCTTCACATATGAACCCAGCTTATACCAAGAACTACATATATGTGATAACATTGTCTAGTCCTTGTATTTCAAGGCTTAAATGGTGAGTATTACTCATAGCTCTGCTGTGATAACAGGATTATGCAGAAATAAGATAATTACAGAGATTTCACTGTAATATACACTATATGACACATTGCACTATTAAGCGTTCTTGGCTTATCATGATTATACTGAATATTTTCACACATAACTTAACATGCTTTTCCTTATTCAGGGTTCAAGACTGAAGTTGAAAACACGATTGCCCAATTTAAAATAGTGGCATTCAGTCTATTGCCCAATAGGCAACTCATTTTTCCAAGTTCATTGCTAAGGGTAAAAGTGAGCTATAACTTATGAGCATACACTGGGAATAAGAACTGAAAGCCAGAAAACTTACATTTCCCCAATAGTCATTTTGCATTGATCGTTGTTGGATCAAAAAGAGACTATTGAGGATAATTTTATCAGATGACATAGTATATCTTACATGTGAAAGATATCAATAACAAGAAATGTTTGAGTATCATGTCAAAAAAGTAAATAAATCAACAATTGATATCTAAACAATGTTTATATCTGCTAAGGGGTCTATTACCAAGTGGCATAATGGTATACACTTGTATTGAATATCTATTTTCAAATCTGAATTCAAATAAAATAGAGCTTCAATAGAAAATATACTGTTAGATACTTACTTCTTAGAAAGATGTCTTGCAACATCTGATTTTTTAAATCCATCCAGCTGGTAAAGCCTTTTTGCAAGTCTCTGTGCCGATGCCACATCCACAGTTTTGATTGGTTGATGGTATATGCTCTCACTATCTGAGAATTCATGATCTGATTCTCCCGGACTGGAGGGGCTAGTTGGGGACATGGAACCATATCCAGTGGGGGACATGGAGCCTTGGTCTGAGGGGACCGAATCTCGGCGAACAGCTGTTTCCTCAATAGCTGTTGCCGTGGTTACTTGTCTTACGGGGGATGCATCCTCAGGGTGGGACGGGAACACAGTCACCCTAGGAGCATCATACTCAGTCTTTGTCACATGTTCTTTACTATCAACATTTGTTTCTTCTAATGTATTCCCCAGGGGAGATCGTAAAATATTTTGAACTAGATGTGAAGCAATTTTATCTTCTCCTGGTGATAACTGTGTACTGTCTGTTTGCATGGGCTCATCCATGTCTGTTAGTTCATGAGGAGCAGGGGGAGGGGGGAATGGTTCCTCAATCTCTTCAATACTGTCTTGGTCCGATAGCTTTCCCCTCTCCCCATCGTTCTCAATGTTTACAAACCCGGGGCGACGCTCTGGGGAATTGTCTAAACTTTTAGTGCCACTTTGTGGCGGTGATTCCACTGGGGCGAGCCTAGTTTGTAAACGATCTAACGAGAGTGAAGATTGTTCGCATGATGCGGGTAGTGCATCATATGATGTTGCTCCAACATCATCAATGTCAATGTCAACTGTCATAACCTGTTGGCCACCACTCTCAAGATAATTCTCATGGCTTTTACTATTACGTACCAAGCCACCTGCCCCATGCATTTGGGAGTAACTGACCTTCTCTGCACTATAGCTGTTCACCATGCTACTTGTTGTACGTTCATTCATTTGCTCAGTAGGGCTCTCAATTTCCTCAGTGTGTGTATAATCATTCTCAAATACTCCATCTTGAGTGTCCTCACATGTACCATTAGAGTCTGCATTGCCATTTACATTATTATTTTCCTGATAGGATGGCACTTCTGGTTTTATGATAGGTTTCATCCCTTTTGGCATAGGTAATCGCGATTTGCCTTTAGTTGGCGAAACTTTCTGTTGGTCATTGCTATGGACCTGAGGATTGGGAATTCCACTGGGAATTCTCTGTTCAGGGTTAGAAACTGTCTGTTTGGTTGGGGATAATTTACTTCTGGATTGTGGAATTCTCGTATTGGGCTGGGCTATTTTTGATGGTGGAGTAATCCCACTCTGTCTATTCACATTTTCTTTGTTTCCCTCAGCATGGGGAAGTTTAGATGGCGATTTTAATCCATCACTTTTAGGAACTTTAGAAGGTGACTTTATTCCTGAATGTGGGATTTTAGTTGGCGATTTCTCACCATCCTTATATGGTATTTTAGATGGTGAAGTCTTAGCTTCGGGAATTCTGGATGGTTTTGCCCCAAATTGTGGAATTTTTGACTGAGGTTTCTCACTCGGGGATGTCTTAGCAGTGCTTCCAGCAAATACAGGCAGCCCACTCTTTGGGGAGGGGTGCTTCGGAGAATCTGGTTTCACTTTTTGAGCTGTTCGAATCATGACGTCACCTGTCATTAGAAATGCTTCATATCCTCCATGATTGGGGTCTTTATCATCAATTTTATCAATTCCATTTTTCTCGATCTTTGCATAGTTGTTTTTGTGTACTTGTCGAGGAACATGTTCACTGTGACTGTCAAAGGCTACTACTGGTATTCTGGACATTGTGGGACCCAATATGTAAAAGTGGCATTATCAAGGTTATCCAATTCTTGTATATCGCATGATGCAGCAGGTCATCGAAACTGAGAATCAAGCAGCCGTGATTATCGTAGATTTAAATATCTCTCCAGACGTTGTTCAAACTTGATGTAACTTGTATTCTGGAAGCATACACAAAATGCCATTAGTATAAATGCAACGTGAGGACCTTGAAGTTTATTAGTGACAAATTGATATAAATTGCAAAGTAATTGATTGAAAGTACTAGACTTATGACTTTAATCAAATCCAGAATGTTATTAGATTCATCACCCAATGTTAAACATGCTGCTCTTTATTTGATATTTCTCAATAATCTAAACTGTTCAGGCAAAATGCTACAATGATAGTAGAGTAACTGTGAGCAGAGAAACAATGGATCTACAGAAAATCTGATATCACTTTTAAAATCAATAGTTCTTAAATAATCCCAGTAGATTTCATGATTTATGTCTCTTTTTGCCAGATAGCTTATAAATTTACCATAATTTGTCATACTGCATTATAAAAATCAATAATTAATTTCCTCTCCCTATTATGATACCATTTTCTAGTTCACAATAAATTCATCTATTTTTCTAACTCATTGTGACATCATGGCACTTAGACATACAGTGAAACATGTAAAGTGAAACACCTCTAGAAGTGGAACCCCTCTGTTAGTAGAACACTTTTCAGAGTCCTAAGACCAAATGACTCAATGTTAAATGAACCTCTAGAAGTAGAACACCTCTGTTGGTTGAACACTTTTCAGAGTCCCAAGACCAAATGACTTAACGAACCTTAATAAGTGGAACACCTCCCAACGTACCAAAGGTCTATTTATTTCCTGTACATATAATATATATTACTTCAGACAAGTGATACTGATCCACATATAACAAATATCAAGATATCGTCACCAGAGAATTAAATAAATCATGTCACTTTTCAATGGTTAAATCATCATAATGAAGACATTTTCTATTTTTAAATATCTTACCTACCTACTCATTATAGCAAATGGTCTTGGACCTTGAAACATCCACATATACTTAAAAAGTATGTTTACTACATTTTAAGTACACCTACTTATTCATGATGACAGATCCAAGTTGTTTCAAATAATCATACTCTATCTTAATAAATCTACATATACGTCACTGATCTATGTTCTTGTCATTTCAAACTTGATTCACTAAAACTATTTTTACATCATACGATGTATACCACAAAGAAACTTTGCAAGGAGGTATGAGTATAAAAAACTAGAGTCTACTTGTCTGGAGTATTGGATGACTCAGTCATATCAGATATCTTTTATACTCAATAAAACATTTTATCTCTTAAAGAAATTCAAGCTATTGAGGAAATATTGAGTAAAGTAATGATTCAATTCTAGCTCTCAAGTGGCCTAATGTAAGATCTATAAAACATAATCTATGGGAATATATCAGTTATCAGGATTTCTATGATGCATCTCAATCACTAAGTCATAACGTTTCAAGAATTTATGATTTGCACAAAGATATAAATGTAACTTGAATACATATTTGATCCATGTATCAATATCCAGAAATAAGATAACATTTTGCCTGACCAACTTGTTAACTGCATCTTCAAATATTCACTTATAAAAACATAATATCTCTTTCACCTAGATTTTAGCTGATTTCAACTTTCTATATCCACATGCATATATTATGAGCTCAAAAACAAACACATTCACCATAAAACCACAGCCTCAAGTAAAGTTGGTCCTGATGTTCACACATTTAGAGTTAAGAATGTCACATATTTGTCATAATGCCAGTATAAAATAAATATATTATTCATAATGTATATAAAGGACAAACTTCAATAACATTAAATAATTCCAATAATATTTTCACCAAAACTTACATATAGTTTATAACTGCTATACAGCCTCTATACAAGATGATGAGAAGTAAAACATGTATTCACACAAGCAAACTTTCTATCGTATAGTTAAACATTTTCTCTCATGCATATTTCAGATGTGACTGTGATTTTAGATGATCCAACATCTGAAGTGATCAATGAGCATATTCTAAAAATAATATCACCTTCTTATAACCCTGATCGATCACCTGTGATTTATGAAACAAATTAATATCTTCCTATAACCTCTGATCTATGACGTCCTGATCTCTAAAATCTGTGATCTGGAACATCATGCGTAGAATTCATAACTCATTCCCATTCCCTACTCTTGTGTATCTTTAGATGCCTTTCTTCTTATCTGAAGAACTCCATAAAATCAATAGCTCAAACACGCTATTCTGAACCTTTCTTTCAAAATATCATAAATATAATATGAATGAATAATCAGGTTAATACTACTCAATATCCTCGTGATTCTGGTATAAAAATCCATCTAGCACTATAGAGACGTTGCACTATACTATCAAGTTTTGGATAAAATTAGAATCATCTGCTTGGAAGCTAATCCAGATTTGTTTACTGTCTGTGGAAGTATTGACTTCTTTGTGAATACTACTTAGGCCACTGAACTTCGATTATATGTTTCTGGTTCAAGTAATTCGTAAATGCACTTAGAGAGGTACAATACAGAATTCATGTGTAGTTCCACACCTTGCCCATACCATGGGGTCCTCAAGCTCACAGTATAACCAGGCATTGATAATACAGCAATGTATGGAGTGCAGGTCAATGGGAATGAGAAGCAGATACTGCTACACCCATAGTATACTAAAACTTGCTTCAGATACAATCGGGGTGTGGATGTAACCTGTGAAATTAACCCAAATCACATCAATTTCACAAAGAAATACTATAAATATTAACAACACAAATAAGTACTCTTATAGATCTATCGACAAATTATAAAATGGCACGGACCAATACCACAAACTGGGCTGGCATTTGTAAGAGTTGAGGTAGACTGGTGTAAAATATTGATGCTATGAGGTCATAGCTTACCAGCCACTACAGTTGATGTATCACGGTAGAAACATCTTTAGAAAGCCCAATTACTATCCTTGTCATTGTAATAGATGTTATTGCATAGCGCATCTATAGTTCTAGTTCCTTGGGAATGTGAGGCAATTCATAGGTACAGCAGAACCTATGATATTGGACAAATTGAAATCTTGAATAAAAAATATTTTATTTTGGAGATGTTGATCATAAAAGGGTTCTTTGCCTATGAGAAAACCTAAGGAAAGAATCATTTTAAAACCAGAGAGCTGATCAAATAGATAGCTTAGAGGGGTGAATAATAACTTAAATTTATATTTTATATGAATTAATTATGCAAATAAAAACCTAATACTTATATTATAAACAAGGTATTAATATGGAAAATGTCACAACCTGCCATTTGTTACAGACACTGAACGCTAATCACCTAACACCAACCGCCAAAAAACAACCACCGAAAATCATCTACAAAAAAAGTTGGAGACTTCTGGCAGTGACATAAAAAGCTTTTAGTCATTTTCATAGACACCTCCCTCTCCTCTAGAATGCGGGGCAATCTTAAGACGCCCAGACCAGACTGAAATCTCCTAAAATGTGGGGCAATCTTAAGACGCCCAGACCAGACTGAAATCCCCTAGAATGTGGGGCAATCTTAAGACACCCAGACCAGACTGAACATCCTCTAGAATGTGGGGCAATCTTAAGACACCCAGACCAGACTGAAATCCCCTAGAATGTGGGCAAATATTAAGACACCCAGACCAGATTGAACATCCTCTAGAATGTGGGGCAATTTTAAGACATTCAGATCAGACTGAAATCCCCTAGAATGTGGGGCAATCTTAAGACACCCAGAACAGACTGAACATCAATATGCATTATATATCCCCCTTGCATGATAGCCTAGTTCACAATTTTGCTGATTGGACCACAAAGAGAGAGTATAATGCATAATTAGGACTTAGCATGTCAACATGAACTACAACTTTCTAATAACTAATCAAGTGTTCTCGTGCAGTATATCACAGGTATCCAGTTTAACAATATCTGGATATATATTTAATAATAATATCCAGTCTTAATAAAAACTGTCACTTTTGACAGAAATGACAGAAATTTTGACAGAAGATAGACAGAACATACTTGAAAATACCAATCACAAGTTTTCATCTATTTTAGACCGCGCAAAATTCTGTATATAATAATTATGATTTCTTGCTATATTCTATAATGATCTTTGCTATTCCTCCTAAGTTATGACATTTGAATATCTCAATGAGAGTGCAACATCTGGATGGCCCATATTGGCAAGTATGGTACATGCAATTGAAAATGGGTTGATAAATGGATGACCAATAAAGGCAAGTATGGTACATGCAATTGAAAATGGGTTGATAAATGGATGACCCATATAGGCAAGTATGGTACATGCAATTGAAAATGGGTTGATAAATGGATGACCCATATAGTCAAGTATGGTTCATGCAATTGAAAATGGGTTGATAAATGGATGACCCATATTACCAAGTATGGTTCATGGAATTGAAAATGGGTTGATAAATGGATGACCCATATAGGCAAGTATGGTACATGCAATTGAAAATGGGTTGATAAATGGATGACCCATATAGGCAAGTATGGTACATGCAATTGAAAATGGGTTGATAAATGGATGACCCATATAGGCAAGTATGGTACATGCAGTTGAAAATGGGTTGATAAATGGACGACCCATATAGGCAAGTATGGTACATGCAGTTGAAAATGGGTTGATAAATGGACGACCCATATAGGCAAGTATAGTACATGCAATTGAAAATGGGTTGATAAATGGATGACCCATATAGGCAAGTATGGTACATGCAATTGAAAATGGGTTGATAAATGGATGACCCATATAGGCAAGTATGGTACATACAATTGAAAATGGGTTGATAAATGGATGACCCATATTGCCAAGTATGGTTCATGCAATTGAAAATGGGTTGATAAATGGATGACCCATATTACCAAGTATGGTTCATGCAATTGAAAATGGGTTGATAAATGGATGACCCATATAGGCAAGTATGGTACATGCAATTGAAAATGGGTTGATAAATGGATGACCCATATAGGCAAGTATGGTACATGCAATTAAAAATGGGTTGATAAATGGATGACCCATATTGGCAAGTAT